AGCGTGGAAGCTGGAGCAGAGGCCCCTCCAGGGCTGCACTCAGTTAGCTCCCTGTGCTGGCCTGCAAGGGGACTCCTGGGGACAGGAGCTCAGGCTCCTACTAGGAGTGGTCAGGGATGCTTGGAGGCGCCACCCTGGCTGCTGTGAGGCGGCCTTGTGAGTTGCTCATGGATGAGGGCCTGTTGCCTGCCAGGCCAGAGAGTGTGCCCTCAGGCTGTGTCTTTCCTGGGCTTTGCGGCTGCAATCCCTTTGTGTCCTGTCCCGCCTCCAAGGGCCCAGGGCCAGAACATCTGCCTCTTGGGCAGGACTGGTTCCACCACCAGGGGCTCCACAAAGGGGCTCTGACAGACCCTGGCTCCCATGAGGGGCGCACAGCCCCCAGTGCCTGGCCAGCTGCTGCCCTCAGTGGGGAGGGAGGTCTTGGTGTGCTCTGAGCCTGCCTTGTTTTCCCTGCGGAGCCGCAGGGCAGTGTGGGAGCCCAAGTGGCGTGGTTGGGTGGAGAGGTGGGTTCCAAACAGGAGCCCCTCTAGTCCTGAGATGGCAGCTGTTGAGCCTCCTCCCTCCTTTCTGGACAGGTTCAAGCCTGGACCTTTCTTTGCCTGCTGGAAAGAGGTTCAATAATTTCTTGGGCAAAGTACACTTAAAAAACACGTTATAACATTTCCCTTTCCCCCACTGGTAGTGCTGTGCACTTAACAGACAAAGATTAGAAAATATAATAAGCCATAAGACAAAAAAATTCACCCATCAGCCAATATCCAGAGGGCATTTCTATTTGGGTGGGAGACACATATACTTCCAATAAGTTTTTCTATGTATACATTCTCACGTATCCTAATGTATATGTATGTATAAAATACTTTTATTTATATAAAAGTAATATAAATTCAGTGGAGCACAGCGGGTCAGGAAGCACATTAACACATACCTGGCATACCTCTCAGGGAGCTACAGCAGTTTCTGGTCACATTGACTGCCTGGGGGCAGAACAGGGGGCTGGGCTCCCTGTATTGCTCTTTGTACTCTTTGAATTTTGAGCCCCATGAATGTGGCATCTATTCAAAAATGATAGAACTAATAAAATAATACACGAAATAAAAAGAAGCCCTCCCTAACCGCCTCCCTCCATTCCACTCCTCAGCTAAACCCGGGATTAGCAGTTTGCTTAGTATCTTTGTAGCTCTTTCTCTCTATTCAGACAATGCATATTTCTCTTTTGTTTTGTTTTTTAAATAAAGATGGGATTATATTGCATATACTTTCTGTAACATACAGCATCATGTAGCATGGATATGAACTTTTTTTTTAATGCTGGGTGTTTTGGGGTTTTGTTCTGCCTATGTGCTTATTATGAAAAGCAAAGATCACAGAATCAAATAAACATAGGAAAGAAAGTCTAAAACAGCACCATCTATTTTAGTGCTTTAAACACAGAGCCAAAGGTCTCAAAGGAGCTCCCCAAGACCAGCAGGCAGGGGCCCTCAGGGAGGGGGGGCATGCTGGGGGGTATGAAAAGGGGCGCTGTGGCTTTATCTGCTTGGCATACATTTCTTACAGTGATATATTTTTGTATATTAATCGATTTTGTTAAAAATAACATATTTTTTTAAAGGAAAAAAAATCCAGAAGACTGTTCTCCATCCTCCCCCACCAGAAAATGGTGGAGGGGAAAAGTACAAGGTGCTTGTATTCTCTCTGTTAACAGCCTGCTGTATACTCTTCAGACCGTCTCTCTAGGCATACACTAATACCCATACACATAGTTTAAAAAAAAATATTTACTTATTTTTTTGGTACTAGTGATTGAATCCAGGGGTGCTTTACCACTGAGCTACATCTCCAGACCTTTTAATGTTTTATTTTAAGACAGGGTCTTTCTGGGCACAGTGGCACACGCCTAAAATCCCAGCAACTTGGGAAGCTGAGGCAGGAGGATTCTAAGTTCAAGGCCTGTCTGGCAATTTAGGGAGACCCTGTCTCAAAATAAAAACGAAAACAAAAAACTGGGGATGTAGCTCAGTGGTATAGTGTCCTGGGCTCAATCCCCACTACCAAACAAACAAACAAATTCTCGATAAATTGTCTCGTTACATTGTGATTATCCTTCCTCAACTTCTTTTTTTTTTTTTTAAATATTCAGTAATAGCCTTTTTTTTTTTTAATATTTATTTTTTAGTTTTTGGCGGACACAACATCTTTGTTTGTATGTGGTGCTGAGGATTGAACCCGGGCTGCACGCATGCCAGGCGAGCATGCTAAGGCTTGAGCCACATCCCCAGCCCATTCCTCAACTTCTCAAATAGCTGGGATCAAAGATGTGTGCCACCATGCCCAATACCCTCAGTCCTTTTTAATGGTTTTACATTATCTCACTGATGTATATATGATGCCTGGGACCGCTGGTGGGGTTGGAAACCCCCGACTCACTTCCCTGTCACTTTTCTTCCTTTCTTCGGGAGTTTGAGGGCTTGAGTGAGCTGTGGTCACCTAACCCATGGCTCAGTTTTATAGATGAGAAAATGGAGTTTCAGGGAGAGGACAGGGTTCCTCCAGTGTGTGGGACTCCCAGAACAGCTCCCAGCTGAGGCCACAGCCCTCCAGCAGCTTGGATGACTGGACTAGATCTAGATGGCTAAGGTCTGACCCAGAACCCCCACCCTCCCATGCTGTACAGGTCTTCCTCTGAGGAACCTCTCTAGGACCCCATGACCTGGTACCCTGGCTCTTGTGGAAGGATTTTTTTTTTTGTGACCGCCAACCCCGACCCCTCTTTTTCTCCTTTCTGAAAGGCCCAGGCCAACTCTTCTCACGCTGGTCCCTGCTCTTGGTACCAGTCTGCATCTGAAGATCAGCCTCTGACTTCCTGCCTCATTTGCATTCCAAAGGGTCTCTAGGATCTGATGGGTTTTAAGGTAGACTTAACAGCCTCTTCAGAGCTCCTCTCCCTGCACCTCCTGCACTTAAGAATCACCTGGAAAGTTATTTAAAACAACTTTTAAATATGCCTGAGACTTAACCCCAGATCAATTTTATCAGAATCTTTGGGGGTGGCATCTAGGGCATCAGTATTTGTCTGTAAGTCCCCTAGATAGTCCTGATGTGTCCCCAGCCACTGTGTTAGTGCCACTCTGGCCCTCATTAAAGGCACGTTTTCTCTTTGGAAATTGATCAAGAGCTATGCCAAGAATTGATCCCTGGTTGGATATGGATTTGCTGTGAGACCTAGGACAAGTCCCTGCCCCGTCTCGCTTTCAGTAAAATGGGGTATAGTCAAGTATACTAGTTTTGGGTTAGCCCAGTGACTCTCATATTCAGAGATGAGGTGTGAGAGGTGAGGGTGTGCATGTATCCAAATCACCTGGGAGCATTTTCAGAAACCCAGTATACCAGCCGGGCTGGAAAAGTCCAAAACAACTGAAGTGTGGTTTCAAACACCGCCAGCATGAATCACCCCTCTCTTGGGAGGAAGTGTTCAGTGGAAGCATGCATCTCATTGAATGGCTTTTTTTAAACAGTGAGGAACTTCAGTAATGAGGATTGTAGCATTTCCTCAAATTCTGCTCGATAGAGCTTGTGTCCTGTGCATTCTTGCCAGCAATAGATGAGCATTTCTTTTCATCGCAGCCTCACCAATAGAAATGTATTCTCAGGTGGTCTGGATTTTGGCCAGTCTGATAGGTGAGAAATGCACCTTATGTGGTTTTTATTTGCATTTCTCCATCATGGGTGGGGATGAGCATTTTCACATGGTTGACATCCATTTGTTTTTCTTTTCCTGTGAGCCCTTGCTCATATGTCCAACCCATTTTCCTGTAGGTTTCTTGGTCTTTTTCTTTTCTTTTTGTGATGCTGGGGATTGAACCCAGGGCCTTGTGCATGTGAGGCAAGCACTCTACCAACTGAGCTATATCCCCAGCCTGGTTTGTTGGTCTTTTGTTCACTGTTTATGGAACTCATATTTAGGATATCAGCCCTTTATTGGTGTTGTCAACTGCAAATCTTTATTTTCAGTTGGTCATTTATATTTCACTTTGCTTACTTTGCTTGTATAGGCAAGTATACCAATTTTCCCCCCAAAAAATGCTCTTGGAGTTTTGAATCCTTATTATCAATCTCTCATGATCATTTCTAAGTCTGCTTTGTAATTTTTAATTTTTCACCCATATTCATTTAATTTATTAGTATTCATTCTGAATTCAAACTCCCACAAGATGTCAGTTCCATGAAGATGGGATTCCCTGTGGGGTGGAGATGGGCATGCAGAGGTTTAGGGACGAATCCTTGGCTATACCAGCAGGAGTGAGGCAGAGGTAGAAGTTGACTCACAGCCTCAGCCCGCCCCATGGGACGCTCTGGAGGTTGCGTGGTCCTTTGGAGTTGAGGCAAGGGGCATAGACCAGTCTTTGGATGTGGGCTTCAGCTAGGGAGGGCACATGACCTTGGACAAGGTGGCTCTCAGTAGTCGTTGCCGGTAGGGACCATCAACTTAGATGTCTTATCTGGGGGAATGAATGTCTCTGTCCTAAAGTGGGGGGTCTAGGCAGGCCACCACAGCATCTTCCCTGTACCTTATCTGTCTCGTTCACTGCTGTGTCCTCTACACCTAATTGTGTCTGGCACATGGTAGGTGCTTCTAACTGGGCCTGGCATACAACAGGGGCTTAGGAAATAGCTGATGAATGAGCGAAAGACAAGAACAGAAATTCAGATTTCCAGGTCTTGGGCCAGGCTAACTGGATCACAATGTGGGGGTGGCAGAGGGGAGGGAGCCCTGGCAAGTGTGTTCAGAGTCATCTCCTTGAATATATCTGGTCTATCTGTCATTTATAGCCTACTGGATGGTCTTGAGGACCCCTCTGGCTCAGCAGCAGGTGCAGGTCAAGGCCTGGATGTGACTGGGCTAGGGTAAGGCCCTTAAAGTGACCCCTGGCCTTGTGACTGCTCTTTGGATGTACATCACCCATGGGGGGTGTTAATTCTTACTTTTTCTCTCTTTCCAGCATTCCTTGAAGAAAAGAGGAACCCGCTCCTTGGGGAAGACAGACAAGAAGCCTTCGGCTCAGGTACTGCCGGCAGCCCCCACAGGCAGGTTGTAGTCTGAAGGTGTGAGCCTAACTGAAGAGGCCTGGGGAGTCTCTGAGGTGCCCAGCCCTCTCCACCTTCTACCCCGAGCTACCTTTGTTTGCTTTCTTGGCCTCACGGCCCACCTTACTTCCCAAGACCACACTCCAAACCCATGGTTCTTACATGCTCAGACTCCCCCAGGCCCAGCAGACTGAGTCACCCAATAGTGAGTGCAGTGACCAGATCCAAAGGTCCAGAACCAAAGGCCTTCAACCTTGACTCTGCCACTTGATTCCTATGTTGTCAGGGTGATTGCTTCAACTTTCTGGCCTCCATTTTCTCATCTGTCCCTATCTGTGGGTTAGTTGTATGACTTAAAGTGCTCTTTGTTGTGCAGGCCAGGCACAGAAAGAATTCTGTTAGCTGCTAGTGGTACTGGATTGCCAGGGTCACATATTATCATTTAATCCTCTCCATGGCTGCAGGAGGAGGGGAGTGGGACTGCCCCATTTTACACATGGGGAAACTAGTAGGAATGGTGTCAGAATGTCACTTGCCCCCAGACTCCCAGACTGGGTGGTGTTCCATTCTTACTGCAACATCAATGTCCCCTCTCTGCTTCCTCTGACCCCCCAGCTCCTTCTCTCTCAGGCTGTGTCTGACCCATTCCCGTGTTCCCAGCACATACTCAGTGCTCCCCCAAATGCGGTGGCTAGTACAATCAATTGGTACTAGCCCATTGATTGAGTAGAATATAAATCACTCATTTACTAAGGATAGTAATTAGCCAACACTAATTTTCCTGGGTCATGTCTGTTCCCGTGTCCATCCGGTCCCAGGAGGACAGCGCAGATCTGAAGTGTCAGCTGCACTTTGCGAAGGAAGAGTCGGCCCTCATGTGCAAGAAGCTCACCAAGCTCGCCAAGGAGAACGACAGCATGAAGGAGGAGCTGCTCAAGTACCGCTCCCTCTATGGGGACCTGGACGCTGCCCTGTCAGCTGAGGAGCTGGCGGATGCTCCGCACTCGCGGGAGACCGAGTTGAAGGTGCACCTGAAACTGGTGGAGGAGGAGGCCAACCTGCTGAGTCGCCGCATCGTGGAGCTGGAGGTGGAGAACCGGGGCCTGCGGGCCGAGATGGACGACATGAAGGATCACAGTGGCGGCTGCGGGGCGCCGGAGGCTCGGCTGGCCTTCTCGGCCCTGGGCGGCAGCGAGTGCGGGGAGAGCCTGGCAGAGCTGCGGCGACATCTGCAGTTTGTGGAGGAGGAGGCGGAGCTGTTGCGGCGCTCCTCGGCGGAGCTCGAGGACCAGAACAAGCTGCTGCTGAGCGAGCTGGCCAAGTACCGCTCGGAGCACGAGCTGGACGTGACGCTGTCGGAGGACAGCTGCTCGGTGCTGAGCGAGCCCTCCCAGGAGGAGCTGGCGGCCGCCAAGCTGCAGATCGGCGAGCTCAGCGGCAAGGTCAAGAAGCTGCAGTATGAGAACCGCGTGCTCCTTTCCAACCTCCAGCGCTGCGATCTCGCCTCCTGCCAGAGCACGCGGCCCATGCTGGAGACGGACGCCGAGGCGGGGGACTCCGCGCAGTGTGTGCCCGCTCCCCTCGGCGAGGCGCACGAGCCCCACGCAGCCCGACTCTGCAGAGCCCGGGAGGCCGAGGCGCTGCCTGGGCTGAGGGAGCAGGCGGTCCTGGTCAGTAAAGCCATCGACGTCCTGGTGGCCGATGCCAATGGCTTCTCTGCGGGCCTTCGGCTCTGTCTGGACAATGAATGTGCTGACTTCAGGCTGCACGAGGCCCCGGATAATAGCGAGGGCCCCAGGGACACGAAGCTCATGCACGCCATCCTGGTGCGGCTGAGCGTGCTGCAGCAGGAGCTCAACGCCTTCACGCGGAAGGCAGACGCCGTCCTCGGGGGCTCTGGCAAGGAGCAGCCAGAGCCCTTCTCTCCGCTGCCCACCCTGGGCTCCCAGGGACCTTCCAAGGAGATCATTCTGGCCAAAGACCTTGCCTCGGACTTTCAGGTAAGATGGCCAATCATAGGTCCTGTCACTCTTATTTCATAGAAGTTTTGTACTGAATCATGACACGAGAGAAGGGTACAGAATTAAGCGCAGCATCTTTATGAACTTTCCACAGTGAACACTTATATGATCACCTTTTTGAGTGTGACCAGCTCCCCAGTAGCCCCTTCTCACCCCCTCTAGTTACTGCCCCTGCTCTTTTTGTGTGTGTGCGGCACTGGTAATTGAACCCAGGGCTTCATGCACACTAGGCAAGTGCTGTTCTACTGAGCTACAGTCCCAGGCACTAGGCCAACCCCTCTCTTGATTTAGGTTTGTCTGCTGTCCTTGAACTGTGTATAAATTCAATCACACAATACAAACTCACCTGTGCCTGGCTTCTTTCCCTCCACATTGTTGCTTGGAGGAAACTTGTATTTATTTTTATTACTAAATATAAGCCCATTGATTGAGTAGAACATAAATCATTCATTTACTAAGGATAGTAATTGATTCTAAGGCCTTTTTTTTTTCTGGTTGCCTTTTCTTATTTCTTTAGTAATTTTGTATTTTAAACCAAGTATTGTTATTTTTTTAAATCTTTGACCAGTTCCCATGCAAAGGCAAGAAACTTAATTTTCTAACAGTGACTAGCTTCCAGCCTTCATGTCCATAAGATACTACTTAGAAAAATTAAAATAGCAAGGGCATTTTGTCCAAACAAACAAACAAAAAAGCATTATTGCAAAAGTAATACATAAACATTCAAAGAGTTTCAGAAGCACCAGAGATGAAAAGATGGAAACCTCTTCCCCCTGCCTCCCACTTCCTACTGAGACCACTGTTAAAGGTCCAGAGGGGTGCTGTCCAGTATGGTAGCCTCTGCCACACTTGGCTGGGGTTGTGGCTCAGTGGTAGAACACTTTCCTAGCATGTTTGAGGCCCTGAGTTCACTCCAGCATTCCAAAACAAAAAATAAACAAACAATAATAACAACAACAAAAAAAAAAAAAAGAAGAAGAAGAAAAAGAAAAGAAAGAAAGACAGTGAATGTGAAATTACAAACTGAGAAGGGGAACCTGAAGGGAAGGTATGTGGTCTAGGAACTTGACCTAGACCCTCAGGGCTTCTCAAACCAGAGCTGGTATGTCCTGGTATAAGAAATTGAGCAAAGAGGAATGGGGCTGGACTGCAGAGGGTGTTGGGAGGTGAGATCACATCCTGAGAGCCGTGTAGGGGTCTTTCCTTGTCATGCAGAGAGATTCAGTTCTTTCTGGTATCTTTTTTTTTTCCCTTTGTTCCTGGGGATTGAACTCAGGGGCACTTGACCACTGAGCCATATCCCCATCCCTTTTTTGTATTTTATTTAGAGACAGGGTCTCACGGAGTTGCTTAGCACCTCGTCATTGCTGAGGCAGGAAGATTGCGAGTTCAAAGCCAGCCTTTGAACTCGCGATCCTCCTGCCTCAGCCTCCCAAGCCTCTGGGATTACAGGTGTGCCTGGCTGAGTGAGATTCAGCTCTTTCTAACAACTATACAGTGATGCTGTGCCATGATTTCTGTAACTCATGTCCTGTCGATCTGCTTGATCTGGCTTTTTAAGGCAAACAGATGGCCCCCTGTTGAGTCTCCCTCTTGGTTTTTCTTGAAGTAGGAGTAAGTTGGGACCACACAGGTAGTAGGACAGTTGGAGCTGTTTTAGAAGGTTTGTGCACCAAGCAGACTTCCATCAAATTAGTATTTTCACTTCCCGCTTATCTACTCATTCATCTTTTTAATAAACATTCACTGAGTGACAGCGGCTGGGCCTGGCTGGCAAGGTGAATACCTGGATCCTGCCCTCCTGTGGGTGGCCATAGCCTCTTCTGGAGCCCAGAGCCCTGGGGTGGAGCTGTTTCTGGCACCCCGTGGGCCTCTCCCCATGGTTGTCTTTGTTCTCTTCTGCCTGTGCCTCTGGTGCAGCCGTCTGACTTCAGGGATCTGCCAGAATGGGAGCCCAGGATCCGAGAGGCCTTCCGCACGGGTGACCTGGACTCCAAACCTGATCCCAGGAGCTTCAGGCCTTATAGAGCTGAAGACAATGATTCCTATGCCTCTGAGGTGGGTCTAGGCCTAGTGGAGCGGGAGGCCGGGTGCGAGGAGGTGGCTGGGGCCTCCCCAAGCAGAGATTCTCAGAGAGTGAAGAAGCGGGTTTTGAGCATTCCCTTAATTTCCAACTTCCTGGCAGCCAGGGCAAAAGAAAATAAGGAAATTTGGGCCATTTTCTTGGCCTAGTCGAAGGAAGTTTAAAAGCTCATCTAAAGAATTTTTTTTCCTGTTCTAAATTCCACTGGGAATTTGTATCATTTGATGGAACTACTAATCTATGTAGCTGGGAGGCAACAATCTCCATCATCCGGCTGGATTCAAATTGTGGATCCGCCGTGTACCAGCTGTGAGATCTTGGATAAGTCACTTCACCTCCCTGATTGTGAGCTGTCATCTATAAACCTCATAGGTGGTTGAAAGGATTAAATATGTGAAAAGTCTTAATTTAAGGCCGTTGCCTGGGTGAGGATAAGCATGAGAATGATGATATACTGCTTGGGATCCAGGGACCAGAGTGCAAGTCTTGGTTCTGCCAGTGTGACTGTGTGACCCTGGACACACTCCCACCCTCAGTCTCAGCTTTCCCACCTCTAACACAGGAGGGTTAGAATTGCTAAGTCGGGGCTGTGGCTGTGGCTCAGTGGCAGGACACTTGCCTAGTATGTGTGAGGCCCTGGGTTCAATCCTCAGCACCACATAAAGATAAATAAATAAATAAATGATGTCCATCTACAATTAAAAAATATTATTAAAAAAAAAAAGAAAAAGAATTGCTAGGATTCTCTGATTCTTGAGGAACTCTGGGTGTTCCTGAGTCCCCTCCTTATCCTACACATAAGCCTCTTCAGCATTTGTTAATGAACCTAAAGTAGGAGAAGATCATGTGGGCTGGGCTGGGAATCCCTGGGACTATTGCACATGGAGACTTAGCACATGCTCAGGAGTGTAGCACAGCCTGAGCATGCTTTTTTGTGAGCATCCTTGGGAAGACAGCTTTGTGGTCCAGGAAGGCTTGCCTGCAACTGTACAGAAGAAGCTCCCTTGAAGCTAAGGAGCAAACTCTTTTCATGATGTGGTCTTCCTAATAACCTAGCCAAAAGGGGGAGAAAATGAGTGTTGGAGTGTAGCTCCGTGGTTGAGTACTTGCCTCACATGCACAAGGCCCTGGATTTAATTTTCAGCACTGCAAGGAAGGAAGGAAGAGGCCGGGGGTGGGGGAGGGAGGGAGGGAGGGTGGAAGAGAGGAGAAGTATGCATATTAAAAGCTTAGATAATTTCCACAAACTGACCGCTCCTGTGTAATCAGCACCGGGATCAATAAACAGAACATGACCCACCCCCAGAAATTCCCCCCTTGTGTTCCCTTCTACTCACCATCTGGACTTCTAAAAGAAAAGACTAGTTTTGCCTGTTCAGCTGCAAAGACTTCTAAATACCATTTCCCCACAAAATGTAAAAATCTCATCTTTTTCTTAAGATCTTATTGCATAGTTGTTGTAAATAACAAATAACTACAACAAAATCTCTGAGCAGCAATGCATAAAGATATAAAGAAGAAAAGTCAGGATTACAAAATCATGTAGTGAGCCACCATTTACTTTTAGAGTGTGTGTACCTATCTATTACAACATAATAAAATACATATAATAAAGAAAAGTGTGTATGTGTATGTGTATATATATACATACACACACACACATACACATACATATACCCATTAAACACATTTTAATCCCCAGCATTTATGATTTAAGTCATTTCTAAACTTTTGCAATTATAAACAATGAGCTAGCTGGGTACAGTGGTGTGTAGTCCCAGCTACTTGGGAATCTGAGACAGAAGAATCCCTTGAGCCCAGGAGTTCAAGGCCAACCTGGGCAAGAGTGAAACCCTATCTCAAAAATAAATAAGAAAGAAACATTGAGACAGTGAACATCTTCGTGAATCAAACTTAACTTTCATAATATATTATTTTTTTCAAATAAATTTCAGAGTAAAAATGTATCAAGTTAAAACTAATGGTAACTAGATTTGCTTTGCACTGTTTCATTTAATTGCCTCGATAACCCACTGAAGTAGGGACAGCCCTTGTGCTTGATCCGTACTTTAGGACCATTCAGGTCCTGCTTACGGTTGCTCCCCAGCCACTTTAATCTGTGACCACAGCCTGTGTCCTCTCCCTCCTCATCCATGTCCCATCCCCATCCTAGATCAAGGAGCTGCAGCTGGTGCTGGCCGAGGCCCATGACAGCCTCCGGGGCTTGCAGGAGCAGCTCTCCCAGGAGCGGCAGCTACGGAAGGAGGAGGCTGACAGCTTCAACCAGAAAATGGTCCAGGTGGGCGGTGCCCGGTCTTCCTGCACCTACTCCATCTGCTCCCAGCACTGAAGGCCGAGGGGCTGGGGCATGGCTCAGTGGTAGATCATTTGCCTAGCATGAGTGAGACCCTGGGTTCCATCCCTAGCACCACAAACTTGAAGGCGAGGTCTTTGGGGGTCCATGGGTCCTCAGAAGATGAGATGGTCAGAGGAAACTCAAGTCTTCCAGTCCTGGTCCCCTGCCAGAGCAATTCCTGCTTGTGATTGTACATCAGCTGAGCTGGGCTGGAGTCCTGGGTGTGTTGTTGGCTGCCTGTGTGACCTTGGGCCAGTTCTGTTTCCTCTCAGGCCCTCTTTCCCATCTGTGAAATGGGAAATGCCTGCTTTGGGCCTAGCTGGTAATCAGGGTGGTAGTTTGTTAACAGCATTTGTGAAGCCCTGATTGTAGCCAGACCATGGAACACACTTTCCATACCTTCTGTGCTTTAATCCTGTGACTTCCCCCAGAAGGTGTTCCCCCCATTTTACTTATGGGGAAACTGGGGCCCAGGAGTGGAAACGCTTTATCCAGGCATGTGCAGGGTAAAGTGGTGCTGGGATTCTAACCCAGGGCTCTGGCTCTCTTCACCACGACCCAGCATGAGTATCTCATATTCCTCAGCCTTCCTGGGCCCCAGGATGCCCTTTGCCCTCCCTGGGTCACCCCTCCCTGTCATTATCGCACACCCCCACAGATTCCTTGTTCAGTGTGAGAGTTCAGGAGAAACATCCAGCGCTCCACAGGTGCTCAGGGAATGATGACGAGGGTTTTTTAGTTGGACCATGCTGGTTTAAATCCCAGCTCCTCCCCTGGGTTGCTGTTGCTTTTATGAGTTACTCTTCCATGGATAAAATGAGCTGCTTGTGGTGGAATTTCTGGCAGAGATCACCAACAGACCCACCCAGTTCTCCCCCTGCCCTTGACCTGGGCCTGGAGTGGGCTGGGAGTGTTGGGACCCTGAACTGGCCTTGCTCAATCTCCTGTCCCCGGCAGCTGAAGGAGGACCAGCAGAGGGCGCTGCTGAGGCGGGAGTTTGAACTGCAGAGTCTGAGCCTCCAGAGGCGGCTGGAGCAGAAATTCTGGAGCCAGGAGAAAAACATGCTGGTGCAAGAGTCCCAGCAGTTCAAGCACAACTTCCTGCTGCTCTTCATGAAGCTCAGGTGGTTCCTGAAGCGCTGGCGGCAGGGCAAGGTCTTGCCCAACGAGGGGGATGACTTCTTGGAGGTATGGTTGGGCTTGGGCCTCCGGAAGGTAGGGGGAAAGGAACATGGGAGGCGAGGGACATAGCACTTCATATTCATATTCACATGTTTGTAGGGGAAATCAGTGTGCTCCAGTCCCTACTGGGGCTGTGACATAATACCTGTAGGACACGTTATCTTTCTAGATCCTGAAACATTCTCAGTTCCCAGCACACCCGAAGGCTGGGGTGTAGCCCAGTGGTAGAGTGTGCTCTTAGAACGAGCAAGGCCCTGGGTTCCATCCCCAGCACCAAAAAAGAAGAAAAATAAAAACAGACACACACCTGCCCCAAGGATTCCAGAGAACAGGTTGTTCCCCGTGTATGTGTAGATCGTCAAAAGACTCTAGGTATCGATCCCTGTGACCAGTGTAGGAAATGAGCTGTTGATCCCTGTAGACTTGCTCCTCCAGCATACTTCACAGCCTCACTATGTTCCCAGATAAGTGGCACTTGGAAACCTCCTTTGTTTTAGTCAGCTTTCCCTCGCTGTGACCAAAATGTCTGAGAGTAACAATTTAAAGAAGGAAAATTTGTTTGGGGCTCATGGCTTCAGAGGTCTCAGTCCATGGATGACTGACTCCATTGCTTTGGGCCCAAGGTGAGGTAGAACATCGTGGCTCAGCTTACGTCAGCTGAGAAGCAAAGAAAGGGAAGAGAAAGGGTGGAAGGGACTGCAGGGAAGATGCACCCTTCCAGGGCACCCCTCTCCACCCGTGCCCACCTCCTCCAGCCACGCCCACCTGCCTGCAGTGCCGGTTAGTGCAGCCAAGCTAGGATGGACTGACTGGGCCACAGGCCTCATAATTCAGTCATTTCACCTCTGAATATTCCTGCAGGAACACAGGAGGTTTGTGGGGAAACTTGATATCCAAACTGCAATATCCTTCATTTCATTTCCAGGACAGCAAGCTCTGGGTTTTCCTTCTACCTCTCTGGCTCCTTCTTATTTCCCTGACCTCAGCTCGCTTTTTATTTTTCTCTTTGGTGGTCCTGGGCACTGAATCCAGAGCCTTGCACATGCAGGTTCTCTGTCGCTGAGCTCCTCCCACCTGACCTCACCTTGCAAGCTCACAGTCCCCAGGGCTCAGTCCTTGGACTGTGTTTCTCCTGTACCTGCTCTGACTGCCTTGGGGCAGCTCATCCAGGCTTCACTGGCCTTTCTTGGACATTGAGTTCCAAGTGTATACGTCCTGTCCAGGTGTCGCTCATGGACCCTAGATGTGTATTGTCCTGGGACAGATCCACTGGGTGTCTGATAGGCTTTGCAAACCTTATGTCCAAAACCAAACTCAGGCTCCTCCTCCAGCCCTGCTCGCCCAGTGGGTCAGTTCCTCTTGTTCAGACAAATGCTGTGGCAGCATCCTCTGCCCTTCTCTTTCCCTCACACCTCGTCTAATCTGTCCACCTCTCCAGAGTCTGAGCCATCCTCCACTGCCCTCTGACCAAGCCATCGTCACTTCCTGCCTGGATTCTGGCCATTGCCTCCTAACTGGTCTCCCTGCTTCTCCTTGACACCCTCCCACCAAGCATCTTGTGCTCAGAGGGTGCCAGGAGGAGCCACGCCCTTGAATGCCCCATGAACGGTGCCCCTGCAGCTGTGCAGCGTGGCTCCAGCTGCCTCAGTCACCGTGGTTATTTCTGAGTAGCTCTTCAGGATGCCTCATGGTCCTTGGGGCAGAAAAGATATTATGGGTCACGCTGCTTGGCCTGGACGGTGCCCAGAGATCAAAGTTACGGTTTGGGAAGTCAGTGAGGACATCCTCCCACCCCTGGTTGAGTGTGGTTTTGACCAACAGGTGAACAGCATGAAGGAGCTGTACCTGCTGGTGGAGGAGGAGGAGATCAGCGCCCAGCATTCTGATAACAAGGCCTGCGCGGGAGACGGCTGGACCCAGAACACGGTGCGTTCTCAGCCCTTCCCGGCTTGTTCCTTTGCCCATTCAATAATCACTTTCCGGGCTGCGGCTGTGGCTCGGTGGTAGAGCACTTGCCCAGCATGTGTGAGGCACTGGGTGTGAACCTCAGCACTGCATACAAATAAATAAACAAATTAATCACTTTCTGTCACTTCCTCTGACTTCAGCTCTGCACTGGACACTAGAGCTGCAAAGGTTGTTCTTTCTTGGTCACTGTCCCCCTGTTCTCTATCCTTTGTGGCATGCAGATCATCCCAGGGCAGTGACAGAAGGCCAGGTGGTGGACTATGGGGTCACAAGCAAGAGACTAATTAGTTCTATTTGGAGCAAAAGAGGATATCATCACAGAAAAGGGGTTATGGATGGTGGGTTTTGAAGAATGAACAGGAGCTTACCTACTAGAGAACGGAGAGAAGTCATTCTAAACACATAGAACTGTGTGTGTAGAGGTGTGGCAAGGTGTTCTGGAATTGGCTGTGGCTTGGGAGGTATATAATGGGGTAAAGCTCTCAAGCTCGGCTCCTATGAAGAGGGGCCTTGGGGCTGGGGCTGGGGCTCAGTGGTAGGGCACTCGCCTAGCACCTATGAGGCACTGGGTTTGATCTTCAGCCCGTGTAAAAAAAATAAAATAAATAAAAGAGGGGCCTTTATTTTCTGGGACTAAGAACTCTCTGATCAAGCCACATATGAGAGAGAAGAGGAGGTTCAGACTTCTAGAGCCACACACAGTGAGTGAGCTGGGTATGGGTGGGAAATGGGGTTGTGGGCCTAGGAAAGAAGATTTGGAATTGGGTTCAGCACAGTTAGGGAGGCTCCTTGGAGGCCTCCAGTGGGTCAGAGAGAGAGGCTAGAGGCTGCAGAAAACCTTGAGAAGGCCAGATTATTCGGCTCAATTTAGGTGGAATAGTTACTACTGTGACTGCGGGAGTCTTTGTTCGTGTGAGGCTGGGACTCACGTCTGCCCAGGGGGGAGCCAGGGCTGGGCTCATCCTGGAGGGGACCTGCTGGAGGCCCAGGGAGCCCCGAGCTGGGTTCCTTCCCACCTCCCACGCTGCTGACCCAGGCCTTTCCTCTCTGCAGCCCAACGAGTACATCAAGACCCTGGCCGACATGAAGGTGACGCTGAAGGAGCTGTGCTGGCTGCTCCGCGATGAGCGCCGGGGTCTCACGGAGCTTCAGCAGCAGTTCGCCAAGGCCAAGGCCACCTGGGAGACAGAGCGGGCGGAGCTCAAGGGCCACGCCACCCAGGTGAGCCCTCCCCAGACACGTCTTCTGCCTCTTGTCCTCAGCCAAGCCCACAGCTGTCAGGTCTGGAACAGGATGCCCAAGCCACCTCCTAGAGGGACAGGAGCCCCTCCCTTCACCTTGTCACCCAGAGAGGACAGAGGCTTGCCTAGAATCATCCAGCACGGGGACCAAGATAGTGGGGTTCAGGAGTCAGTGGGCCAGGGAAGGAAGATGGAGAATTGGCAGGCACCTCTGCCCCTCTGCTTCCGGGTGACATGCCTGATTTGTACCCAGTGCCGTCCCTGCGATGCCTGGTCTCTCATTGCTGCTGTCCTTATTTGCTGCCTCTTACCTGAGGGGCCCCCTGATACCTGGCTGTGGTTTGCTCCCTCCCCTACAACAGCCCAGCTGGACCAAAGAAACTTAAATAGGATCCCTGGGATTTGGGTATCTGCTTTGTGTGTGGGGACAAGTTGCTGCCCTACTCTGGTCTGAAAAATGAGAAGGCTAGGCCTCCCACCTGGAGAGAATGCTCTGACTCCACAGGGTGGGGCTGGGCTCCCTCTTCCTCCACCCTGTCCCTGCTGCAGGCCGACTTCCTGGGCATTGCCACCTCTGGGAGGTGGTACTCAGATGGTCTCTGCAGGACACATGACAAAACAGGCACAGAGAGGTTGAGTCCCTGTCTTGTGTCACCCAGGGCAGACCTGACCTTGCACTCCGACTCCTGACTTCTTCCTGGGCCCTCCGATCCCTCCTAGGCCTCCTGCAGACCTCCCAGCTGCTGCTCATCTGCATATTCCAGTGTCCTTTGCTCTGCTGTGCCCCAAGCTCAGCCATTCCAGGGCTCTACTCCCTGACCATAGCCTGGCAGGTGGGAGGCATTGAATCATGAGCTGGATATAGGTGTGCATCATCCTGCCACCCTGAGGTCTGCGGCCAAGAAAGGCATCGTGCAGAGTGATTTCTGCATATGTGCATGTGTGTGCATGTCCCCATGCAAGGCCCATGAGGGACAAGGTGGGGTTCAGCTTTCCAGGAGTGGAGCTAAAACACAACCCCATTAACCAGAACCTGCACTGTACCTAAGAGTAGATAAATACTGTGACAGGCGATAACTAGGAACCCACTACGTGACCTGGGACAAAACTGACTTGACCCCCTTAGAACCTCTTCCTCTGAAAAACGCAAAGTGGTAGTTAAATTGCAGAGAAAATGACTGAAAAACCCACAGTGCAGCTTGGCTGGTGGGAAGAGCTCCACACCGAGGAGGGCTGGTTGTAAGGGGGAGGTCACCAAAGGCTTCCCAGGGGACGGCCCCCAAGGAGCCTCTCTCCCCTTCCCCTGCTGGTGCCCAAGAAGGGAGGAGGGAGAGTAGAGGGGCCCGAGGTGCCAGCTGCCCAGACTGCTCCCACCCACAGATGGAGCTGAAGGCCGGGAAGGGGCCCGGGGAGCGGGCAGGGCCCGAGTGGAAGGCGGCCCTGCAGAGGGAGCGAGAGGAGCAGCAGCACCTCCTGGCCGAGTCCTACAGCGCAGTCATGGAGTTGACACGGCAACTGCAAATCAGCGAGCGCAACTGGAGCCAGGAGAAGCTGCAGCTGGTGGAGCGGCTGCAGGGTGAGAAGCAGCAGGTGGAGCAGCAGGTGAAGGAGCTGCAGAACCGCCTGAGCCAGGTGAGGCTGGCCCCAGCTTAGGCTGATTTGAGCCACAAGGGAGAGTCACTGTAGGATAAGTTCATGGGTAGCATCTCCTTCACGTATAGCTGGATCCAGGTGCTCAGACAGTGAAGTCTAGAATCTCTTTCAGATATAGCTGGAACCTTGTGTTTAGAGATTCCAGTAAGAACTAGGTCTCTCTCTGCCTCAATCTTTCAGGACTGCTTTCCTCTTGTTAGCTTTTTTTTTTTTTAATATTTATTTTTTAGAGTAGATGGACACAACACAATGCCTTTATTTTTATGTGGTGCTAAGGATTGAACCCTGGTCCCGCCTGTGCTAGGTGAGCGCTCTACTACTGAGCCACAATCGCAGCCCTCTTGTTAGCTTTACTCTGGTTTTGTTTTGTTTGGTAACAGGAATTGAACCCAGTGGTACTTAACCTTTGAGTCACATCCTCAGACTGCTTTTTGGGGGTTTTGTTTATTTTATTTTATTTTGAGACAGGGTCTTGCTAAGTTAGAGTCTCACTAAGTTGCTGAGGCTGGCGTCAAACTTGCAATCTTCCTGCCTCAACCTCCCAAATTGCTGGGATTGCAGGCATGTGCCACCACACCCAGCCGCTTTACTCTTTTCTTAAATTTTACTTTGAAACACAGTCTGGCTAGGTCGCCAAGGCTGACCTCAGACTTGTTTACGTCTCCTGCCTCAGCCTCTGGTAGCTGGAATTACAGGCATAGGCCACTGTGTCCAGCTTGTATACACTTTACTCTTAAGCAAGCTATTTCCAAATATGACCACTCTCAGTTTTATGCACGTAATTTACAGTTTAGCAATCACAATTGGAAAGGTTTCTTTCCCACAAGTTTCTGATTGGCCAGGTGTGAATCATGTGCCCCAAACCAAGGGACCAGGAGGAAGGAGTAGAGTGATTCCCATGGGGAAATTGTAGTCCTTAGACTAAAATGGTGGGTGGAGAGGTGGGGTGGGGGGATTAAAAACAGCCAGTGAGCAGTAAGCTGCTCTATGCTTTGTGTCACGTGCCCAGCACACCTGTCATCCTGTGTACTGTTTGTTTTGACTTTTTTCTTTTCTTCTATTTTTTTTTAAATTTTAATTACAGCACTCAGTACTTCATCTTCATATAAGAATATTGCCCAGAATGGTGTCCTAGCCCTGTATCCCAGCTACTTGGGAGGCTGAGACAGGAGGTTTGTGACTTCAAAGCCAGCCTCTGCAAGGGCGAGGCACTAAGCAACTCAGTGAGACTCTGTCTCTAAATAAAATACAAAATAGGGCTGGGGATGTGGCTCAGTGGTCAAGTGCCCCTGGGTTCAATCTCTCGTACCAGAAAAAAAAAAAAAAAAAAACAGGGGGAGGGGGTTGTGGATGTAGCTTAGAGGTAGAATGCTTTAGCAGGCATGAGGTTCTGGGTTCAATCTCTAATACCTAGAAGAAAAGGGGAAAAGGGCCAAATATTACAAAAGCCTATTCTCTCCCTTTCTTGCTATTTAAACAATTTATATTCAGAGTTTCATTTCCATTTTTGATTAATTGAATCATAATGCACATGTTATTTGCACTTTGCCTCTTTCATGGAGAGCTGTTCACAACAGGCTAGAGGAGGCCTCATCTTGTCTGACTGCTGCTTGACCTTCCAAGCATGGGGACACCAGAATTTAGTATTCCATATCGACAAGATCTAGATTGTTTCCAGTTTTTCTCTATTTAAAGTAGTGCCCCAGTGAATAACCCCAATGCACATTTTTCCACACATGCATGAACATTTCAATAGGATAGATCACTAGAGGTGAAATTGCTGTGTTCAAGGGCATGTGCATTTATAGTTGATGGGAACTGCCCAGCCAGCCCTCCAGAAAGGCTTCACCCAGTTGCACTCCACCGGGAGCACAGTGAGAAGGGCCTGTTTTGCTTTATCTTTGCCATTTTGAAACATCTGTTTATCTCCAGGTGTACAATGCTGTCTTACTGTTTTAATTTGCCTTTCTCTGATTCCTAATGAGGGCCTGCATCATTATGATCATTTGCATTTCCTCTCTTACTGCTGTCTCTAATCCTCCAGCAGCCCTGCAAGGTCACAGTCACTAACCCCCTTTTTCAGATGAGGAAACTGAGGCAGAGTGATATGTCCAAGGTCATAAAGTGAGTAAGAGACAGGCCTGGAATCTAGCAGAACTCTCACATCTGGCAAGTTCCACTCCTGGGCCCTGACTCCTTCCCTGCAGAGATAGAGATCCCCTGAGGGTCATACCTACTAAGGAGCTTGTGCATGGTGAGTGGAGGATGGCACGCTAACATGAGTTCCAGAACATTCCATGTACCATGTGGAAAGCAGATCAGATGCATCCATTTGCACCATCAAACGAAATTCCTGTCTGTAGGAAAGTAGTTTCTTTTTATTATATTAACAATAGGATATTTTAAATGATTTTAAAATTATGAGATAAGTTCCATAACATACCTGGGGAAGCATATCAGCCCACAGGCCAGGCATACCAAGGTGCTACTCAGCTAGCTCATCCATGAACTGCAGCATGAATTAACAGCAATAATGGTTACTATATTAGATACAATGACATCCATCAGAATACCTGCAAGAAATTGCTCTTATTATCATTTTCCAATCCAACTCAGGTAGCTCAGAACTGCTACCCTCTAGAAGGAACCCTCTGGCTCCTGGCCCATGATGCTCCTCCCAGCTGCAGGGCAGAGCCCAGGATGTGGTCCTGCTCTGGGCCTCTGCTCACTCATGCCCGTCACTGATGCGTGCTCTTTGCCCTTGCTCAGCTGCAGAAGGCTGCCGACCCCTGGGTCCTGAAGCACTCAGACCTCGAGAAGCAGGACAACAGCTGGAAAGAGGTGAGGGTCACCCGTGTTGTCTGGGCTCCTGGCTGGGCCATAAATTCCTTGCTTGTGGGGACGTGATAGGAGGATGTTAACCCTATCCCACAGGTCACACAGCCTTGCACCTCAGGCACCTCAGGCCCTGGGGCCCCTATGCCTCATGGGTCCTCCCCATGGTTTGGGACTTGGGAAGTGTCCTCTGTCAGGGTTGTGATTCCAAGCTGGGAGAAACCCCCAGCCTCTCTTGCTTTCACCTGTGCATCTGTGGAAAGCAAACCTTCCGTAGGTGTGGAGATCAGTAAGATCACATTGGTGAAGTCTGCACTTAAGGCTCAGGTGCTCTGTCAGAGAGCAGCTTGCTGAGTAACCAAAGGCAGTGTACGGCTGTTTGCATTACCCTAGTTCATGACCACCAGAGGAAGTGGGGTGCCATTTAGGAGGCTTGATTGCAAACAATGAACACTGATTCTGGGGAACTGAGGGGGAGGGTCTCAAGGGGGACTCACCCAGGGCTGGCAGCCAAGGAAGGCAGCTGTGATAACTGGTGCAGGTGCTGGGAATTGTGCCTCTAGAACCAGAATGGACAAACCCAGGCAGTAGCTGCATGGTCATTGCTGTCACCATGAGTAGTCGTTCTTGTTGTTTTTTTTTTTTTGGCGGGGGGGTCACTGTTGACAGTACAGTTAGCACATTCTTATGGTGGGGGAGTTACATGCAGAGCCGCCAGAAACTTGACCAATAATTGTTCTGGATCGTTGCTGACATCATTGCCGCTCTTCAGATGAGAAGTCAAGTGTGGAGGGCCTCTAGTCACCTTCCTTCTGCATGCTGGTGGCCAGAGTTGACCCTTCCTGTCTCTTCTTTGACAGACGCGCAGTGAGAAGATCCACGACAAGGAGACGGTTTCCGAAGCTGAGCTGGGGGGAACCGGCTTAAAGAGGTGCTGGCAGCCCCATCCTGCCCGCCCCTTTGTCCCTCTCCTCTCCTGCCCCCTGTGCCCACCCCTGCGCCCCATCAGAATTGGGAGAGCAGCAGGATGTGGTTTCTACATAACCCAAATCACTCAGGAGCTGGAAAGCCCGGGGCCAGGGGGATTCCAGATTGCAGCTTGACGTGTGTTTCTTTGGAATACCAGGGCCCCAGTGCATCCTAGCTGGCAGAGAAACTAGCTTCTTTGGGGTTCTGTTTTCTGTCTCTGGGTTAGGAGAGTCACCATGGACATCCATTCCTGGGGCTATGAGCAGCATCCATTGGGCCAGCCACATGCTGTGACCAAGGAGACCCCCCTAGACTAGTAGGACTTTGTCTCTACCATTAGGAAACACATGAGTGAGGGAAATGGAACCTCACAGGAGCCACACAGAGTAGCCCAGAAGCAAGGAGGCCCCAGGGTGGGAGGTGGGCACTGGAGCCAGACGCTGGCTTTGCATTCCAGCTGTGTGGCTTCTAGTCTATGACCTTGGGCAGCTCCTCCCTGCCCACTCTTTCCCTCTGTCTCTTCCACCGTCTCAACAGCTGCCTCTAGAGCTGTCTGAGTCGTCCAGTTTGTGTGATGTACTAACACATGACTGGTACTTCTGGCCTCCAGGTAACATGTGCCTGGTCTGTGCTGGGATTTTTAAAATATTATATTTTAAAAACGTGTATTAACATGTTAATTGTAGAAGTATGTGTTGATCACGTCCATCCACCCTTCTTCTACCTCTCCTCCTCCCACTCCTCTCTCTCTCTTACCCGTGGCTCCCTTCCCAATCCCTAGTAAGCCCTTGTCTACTTTCAGGCGGGTTTTTTTCTTCTTCTTCTTCTTCTTTTTAGTTTCCACATAAGAGAGAAAATATGCAATCCTTGTTTTTCTGTGTCTGACTTGTTTCACTTAACATGATATCCTCCAATTCCATCCATTTTCCTGCAAATGACAGGATTTTATTTTTCCTTATGACTGATTAATACTCCGTGGTGTATATATACCATAATTTTCTTTATCCACTCATCTGTTGATGGACACCTAGGCTGGTCCTTATCTTAGCCGTGGTGAATGGTGCTTCAGTGAATGTGGGTCTGCAGGTATCTCTTTATATTCTGGCTTCATTTCCTTTGGCTGTATACTCAGGAGTGGGATAGCTGGATCATATGGTAGTTCTATTTTTAGAAGCACGTGGGAATGCACGTGCCTGAGTGTATGTGTGCACCAGTGCGTATTGCTGGCAACTAAATCCAGGGCCTGGGGCATGCTAAGCAAGTGCTATAGAGTTAAGCTACCTATACCCCAGCCATGGTAGTTCTATTTTTAGTTTTTCTGAGTATCTTCTATTATTGTTTTCCATAGTGACTGTTTAATTAGGTTCCTATCAACAATGTATAAGGGTTCCTTTTTCCCTATATTCCCAGCAGCATTTATTGATTTTTTTTTATAATAGCCATTCTAACTGGAATGAGGTGGATCTCATTGTAGTTTTGATTTGCCTGATGGTTAATGTTATTGAGCATTTTTCCACATATTTATTAGTCATTTGCACGTTTTTTTCTTACAAGAAGTGTCTATTCAGATCATTTGCCCCTTTTTTCAGTGGATTACTTGTTCTGTTATTTTATTTGTTTTTTTACATATTTTTGATATTAATCCTTGTCAAATGAGTAGCCTACAAGGATTCTCTCCCACTCTGGGTTGTGTATTATTTTCTTTGCTGTTGCACAAGCTTTTAAATTCAATGTAATTCCATTCGTCAATTCTTGCTTTTGTTTCCTGTGCTTTTAGAGCCCTATCCAGGAAATCATGGCTTGTGCCAGTATCTTGAAGTGTTTCCCCTGTGTTTTCCTCTAGTAGTTTCAGAGTTTCAGGTCTTACTTTAAGGTCTTTGATCCATTTTGAGTTGATTTTTTTTGTCCAGGATGAGAAATAGGATCAAGGTTTGATCTTCTACTTATGGATCTTCCATTTTCCTAGCAATATTTGCTGAACAGACTGTCCTTTCTCTAATGATGTTTTGGGCACCTTAGTTGACAATCAGTTGACTAAAGATGTGTGGACTCATTTCTGGATTCTCTATGCTATTTTATTTCGTCTGTGCTTCTGTTTGTGTTGAAGATTTAATGGCATCTAAGTTTGGGTTCCCCCAGAAGCAACCCCTGAGATGAGGGTTTATATGAAAATATTTATTTGGGAGAAGATTCCAGGAAATACCTGAAAGTAAGACAGGAAGAGGAAAGCAGACAGTTAAAGCAGTTCCCACCCACCAGGGAAGTAGGCCAGGGTGTGCGCAGTCTGGGTTATTTCCCTCTAACACCGTTTTTCCTCCTCTGCTCTTCCTAGGACCAAATCTGTTTCCTCCATGTCTGAGTTTGAAAGTTTGCTTGACTGTTCCCCCTACCTTGCTGGTGGAGATGCCCGAGGCAAGAAACTGCCCAACAACCCTGCCTTTACCTTTGTGAGTACTGAGACCGTGGATCCAGAGAAAGATACCAAGGAAAAGGCAGGGCTCACGCCTCAGGACTCCAACCGCCTGGGTGCGCTGGGCTGCCAGGACTCTGCAGGGAGGCACATGCAGCGCAGCTACACGGCTCCAGACAAGACGGGCATCCGAGTCTACTACAGTCCCCCAGTGGCCCGGCGCCTGGGTGTCCCTGTGGTCCATGACAAGGAGGGCAAAATCCTCATTGAGCCTGGCTTCCTCTTCACCACAGCCAAGCCCAAAGAATCAGCTGAGGCCGACGGGCTGGCCGAGAGCTCCTACAGTCGGTGGCTGTGCAACTTCTCTCGCCAGCGCCTGGATGGGGGCTCAACGGGCAGCGCCTCGGCAGCCGGGCCCGCCTTCCCCGCGGCCCTGCATGACTTTGAGATGTCAGGCAACATGAGCGATGACATGAAGGAGATCACCAACTGCGTGCGACAGGCCATGCGCTCGGGCTCGCTGGAGAGGAAAGTGAAAAGCACGTCCAGCCAGACGGTGGGCCTGGCCAGCGTGGGCACACAGACGATCCGCACGGTCAGCGTGGGCCTGCAGACTGACCCGCCCCGCAGCAGCCTCCACAGCAAGAGCTGGTCACCCCGCAGCTCGTCGCTGGTGTCCGTGCGCAGCAAGCAGATCTCCTCCTCCCTGGACAAGGTCCACTCCCGCATTGAGCGGCCCTGCTGCTCGCCCAAGTATGGCTCGCCAAAGCTCCAGAGGCGCTCGGTGTCCAAGCTGGACAGCACCAAGGACCGCAGTCTCTGGAACCTGCACCAGGGCAAGCAGAATGGCTCGGCCTGGGCTCGCTCCACCACCACGCGGGACAGCCCGGTGCTGAGGAACATCAACGACGGGCTGTCCAGCCTCTTCAGTGTGGTGGAGCACTCAGGGAGCACGGAATCTGTGTGGAAGCTGGGCATGTCCGAGACCCGGGCCAAGCCCGAGCCTCCCAAGTACGGCATCGTGCAGGAGTTCTTCCGCAACGTGTGTGGCCGCGCCCCGAGCCCCACCGCGGCTGCGGGAGAGGAAGGCGCCAAGAAGCCCGAGCCCCTCTCCCCGGCCAGTTACCATCAGCCGGAGGGCGTGGCCAGGATCCTGAGCAAGAAGGCCACCAAATCAGGCAGCAGCGAGGAGGCCAGAGCCACCCTGCTTCCCCAGGTGGGGAAGGACGGTGTGCCCCGGGAGGGCGATGGCACCTCCGTTCTTCCCAATGAGGTAGGTGGGTGGAGTTTGCCCTTTTTCTTGGGAGCGGGGATTGGCTTCCAGGGTCCAACCTCACGTGGATTTTTGTTTTTTGGTGTGTGTGTGTGTGTGTGTGTACTGAAAATTGAATCCATGGGTCCTATACTACTGAAGCACATCCCCAAACCTTTTCATATTTTATTTTGAGACAGTCTCCCAAAGTTGCTTGGGGCCTTGCCTAGTTACCAAGGCTGGCTTTGAACTCACGATCCTACTGCCTCAGCCTCCCGAGTCTCTGGGATTACAGGCTTGTACCCAGCACCCAGTTCTATTCATTTTTGTTTTTATTTATTTTTTATTATTTGGTAGTGCTGGGGATTAAACCCAGAGGCTCACATGTGCTACGCAAGCACTCCCCCACTGAGCTACATGCCCAACCCTTTAAATTATTGGATACTGGAGCTTGAACCAGGGGTGCTGCACCCCTGAGCTACATCCTTGCCTCTTTTTACTTTTTATTTTGAGACAGGGTCTTGCTATGTTGCCAAGCCTGGCTTCAAATTTTTGATCTTCCTGCCTTAGCCTCCCAAGTAGCTGCACCACAGTGCCTAGCTCGTTTGTTTTTTTTAATTCAAGAAATATAGTCGTATGTCTATAGTTTTTCCCTAATGTAAATGGTGCTGTGGTGAATATCTTGGTGCAAAAACTTTTTTTTTTTTTTTTTTTACATTTCAGATTATTTCCTTAGGTTTCAGTTGCAGAAATGGGATTATAGCATGAAAGGATATCAAAATGTGTAAGGTATTTGATAAATGTTGCCAAATTGTCTTTCAAAAAAGTTTGTCTGGGGGCTGGGGTTGTGGCTCAGTGGTAGAGCGCTTGCCTAGCATGTGTGAGGCACTGGGTTTGATTCTCAGCACCACATATAAATAAATGAATAAAATAAAGGTTCATCAACATCTAAAACATTAAAGAAAAAGTTTGTCTGGTGGGGCTGTGGTTGTGGCTCAGTGGTAGAGTGCTTGCCTCACATGTGTGAGTCACTCACTGGGTTCAAGTCTCAGCACCGCATATATATAAATGAAGAAAATAAAGGTCCATCAACAACTAAAAAAATTTTTAAAAAAGGTTTTTTGCTGAACTGGGAGTATAGCTCAGTGGTAGTGCTTGCCTCACATGCACAAGCTCTGGGTTCAGTCCTCAGCACTGGAGAGTGACAGAGAGAGAGAGAGAGAGAGAGAGAGAGAGAGAGAGAGGGAGAGATTGTCCAGTTTTACAGCCTCGGTAGTGCAGGGGGAGTGCATTTCTTCTCCACACATCTACTCAGCTGGCTGTCTTGTTTTTGTTGTTTGATACCAGGGATTGCACCAGGGGTGCTTAACCACTGAGCCACATCTCCAGCTTTTTTTTTTTGTATTTTATTTAGAGATAGGGTCTCTCTGAGTTGCTTAGGGCCTCACTGAATTGCTGAGGCTGGCTTTGAACTAGTGATTCTCTTGTCTCAGCCTCCTGAGGCTCTGGGATTACACTGGCTGTAATTTTGAAAAATCTCTTATTTATTTATATTTTTTAAACTTTTAATTTTTAACTAATTTATTTCTATTTTTTAACTTCAATATTCATGCTGAGCATATTGTAAGAATACGCCTGAATATCGTCAAACACAGCCATTGCATTAACATTTTCCAGAGAAACAGAACCAATAGTGTGTGGGGGAGATTGACAGATATCTATCTTAAGGATTGGGCCCACATGGTCATAGAGGCTGGAAGTCCCCAAGATCTGTATGATGAGTCACAAAGGCCTGAGAATTGGTTAAATTAATGATTTCATTTCAGACTGAGGCCTGGCAGTCACATGACCCAGGAAGTGCCCATGGTCTGAAAATAGAAGAAAATCTAATGTGCCAGTCCAAAGGCTGTCAGGCGTGAAGAATTGACGTACTTGGGGGAGAGTCAGCGTTTTTGTTCTATTCGAACCTTTACTTGATTGGATGAAGCCTACCCACGTTAGGGAGGGGGATCTGCTCTACTCATTCTGCCAGTTAATCTCATCCAAAAACACCCTCACAGAAATCCCTAGAATAATGTTCAAACCTAATGTCTGGCAGCCTGTGGCTGAGTCACATTGACAAATAAAATTAATTATCACATCCATAAAACCAGCACCACACCAAGAAACAACAGTACACAGCTAACTGGCTTTTAAATGTTGATTTTAAAGTTGATATACATATTTTTCAGTATGTTAATGTGCCGGTGACCTGTTGACCCAGTAGTTCTCTTGTTAGGAATGTAGTCTGTGGAAATAATCACAGAGGTGGAAGATGAAGCTTGCATAAAAGACTACGTTGCAGGCTGGGGTTGTGGCTCAGTGGTAAAGTGCTGGCACACACAAGGCCCTGGGTTCCCTTCCCAGCACCTCAGGAAAAAAAATAAAAATAAATGTGTTGCATTATTAATAAAAATTGTTGACCCGTGTTAAATGTCTAATAGGTCCTTTGCCTAGGGCTTTTACATATCATATCTGATTTGACCCTTACAACTTTGAAAAAGGTATCATGTCTCTCATCTTATGGGGGAAATCAAGCCTCTGAGAGGTAATTGCCCAAGGCCATACAGTAAGTGATAACTGGGATTTGAGCCAAGCAATCTTGTTCTACAGGTGCATTTTTCTGTGTGTTGATAATAGTAAAAAATCAGAAACTACCCAAACAAACATCAAAAGTAAATTGGGGCCAGGCATGGTGTGCATGCCTGTAAGCCCAGCGACTTGGGAGGTTGAAGCAAGAGGATAACAAGTTCGAACACAACCTCAACAACTTAGTGAGACCCTATCTCAAAATAAAAAGGGCTAGGGAAGCCAGGAGCGATAGCTTGGGAGGCTGAGACTGGAGGATCATGAGTTCAAAGCCAGCCTCAGCAATGGTGATGCACTAAGCAACTCAGTGAGATTCCGCCTCTAAATAAATTACAAAAATAGAGCACAAGGAGGTGGCTGGGGAAATAGCTCAGTTGGTAGAGTGCTTGCCTTGCATGCACAAAGCCCTGGGTTCAATCCCCAGCACCAAAAAAAAAAAAAAAAAAAAAGTCAAAAAAAGGCTGGGGATGTGGATCAGTGATGGAGTGCCCCTGAGTTTAATCCCTGTTATCTACGCCCACCCCATCCCCCAAAAAAATTAGGGCTGGGGAACTTGTTCATTTGCCTAGAATGCCCAAAGCCCTGGGTTCAACCCCCAGCATCACCAAAGAAAAAAGTGAATTGAATATATAAATTATTTCTATTCAGGGCTGGATTAAAGCTCAGTGATAGAGAACTTGCCTGGCCTCTGTGAGGCACTGGGTTCGATTCTCACACTGCATGTAAGTAAATAAATAAAGGTCCATTGGCAACTAAAACATTTTTTAAAAAATTATTTCTATTTAGCAGAATAGTGTACAGCTGGGGCTAGGGATATAGCTCAGTTGGAAGAGTGCTTGCCTCTCATGCAAAGGCCCTGGGTTCAATCCCCAGCACCAAAAAAAAAAAAAATACAGAATAGTATACAGCTATTAAAAGAGATCTAGGACATACATAGTGGCAAAAAAAAAATGTTCATGTTTTGCAATTGCAAAATAGGATGTAGGTGATGAAGTCAATATGTATATGCAGTATGTTGAGAATTTATTTTTGACGTTGCAGGACTTTGACAACATTCACTTTTTTCTCTGTATCTTCTGGACTACATTAGAATGAATATCCATTACTGTCCAAAAGGGAGGAAAACGGAAAAATGGCTCCAGAGAGGGGATGCAGCCCCTGGGAACTGGTCTGTGGGCATGGCTGAGTCCAATTCCATGCCTGGCTGGTCACCCAGTGGTAGCTGTCCATACTTCCTGACTCCTGACCTCTTCTTTCCCTCCTCTTAGGACGCTGTCTGTGACTGCAGTGCCCAGTCTCTTGCCTCCTGCTTTGCCAGGCCGTCCCGCTCTGCTATCCGCCACTCTCCTTCCAAGTGCAGGCTGCATCCCTCTGAGTCTGGCTGGGGCATGGAGGAAAGAGTGGCCCCTGCCAGTGAGTGATAGAGCAGCCCGGCTCCCTGCCTCGACCAGCCCAGTTCCTGGGAGGTGGAGAGGAGGCAAGGGGCCATACCCTGGAGGGACAGCAGCTATACCACTGCCAGAGAAGAGCTTTCACATCAAGGTAAAGCGGGTCTCCTGCTGACCAGTGGGTGGTGATCTCTGACTCCCAAGGGAAGGCACTGAGTGGGAGATAGACCAAAACTGGGCCTTAGAAGCATCCGCAGAGAGCTCCATTGGGACCAACCCCTGAGTCCTAAAGGAGACCCTTGCCTGGATCCACCCATACCCACTTCTCAGAAGAGCCCAGGAAGAGATGCACCTCTGGTCATGCTTCATGGAAGGGGACTCACAGAGATGTTCCCTGTTGACCACGTAACCCTTCATGGGGAGGAGATACCACCGAGAAAATGGGCTCTGCTCTAGGGCCCACCTTGGGTTCCTGGCAGAGCTGGGCTAGCCACCATCCCCTCCTCCTGGCCCTGCTGCTCTGGATTGCTGGGATTCTAGGGGGTATGATAGGGCCGTAACCAGGGCCAAGAATATGCTCAGAGTCCTGGAGCCTTGGATCTCCTTGCTCATACCTGGAGCAGTAAGAACTGGGAGACAGTGGGAATGAGTAGGGCTCAAGTCAGGGAGCCATTGAAATTTCCTCCCTTGTCAAAGTGATGGGGGCGGGGGGAACCTTTTGGGAGACTCCGTGAAGACAGAAATAGGTAGAGTCAGTCTTAAGAACTGGTGCATAAAAAAAAAAAAAAAATGCCTACATGCCCATGCCTTGACCTGGGGCCTCTTTCCCCAGCACCCTGGAGGAGACTACACCTCCTCTGTGTTTACATCCTGCAGCTGGTGGAGGGCAAAGAGACTCCCAGCAGGAGACTCCCAATTGGTCACATCAGGCCAAGGAGAATTCACAGTAGACTGGAGCCCAGAAACACATTTCTTGCCTAGATTGTTTATTTGAATTTTTCGTACTATAAATATTTAAGGTGGTTTACTTTATTTTAATAATTTAATTGACCCCAAAGTCCTTAAGGTAATTTATTGGAGATCGACACGTGTTCTTGCCACTGGGACAATGTGGGACTTGTAACACCATGGATAGGCATGGGGTCCCCAGTGTGGACCAGATGGCTCAGCAGCCACGCTCTGGTCTCCTGGTCAGTTTAGGAGGGCCCCTCACCAGACCTGGTGCCCTGTAGCTTGCTCCCCCAACACTGCTGACCCTTTAGCCCAGAGCACTACTTTCCAGCACCTGGTCCTTGCGCAGCCCCCAGAGGTCAGTCTGTAAATGCTCTGGATGGGGTGGTGGGCCAGACTGTTGTCACCACTCCCCCGGCATTCTCCCTTTCCCTCCCGTCTCTGAAACCTTCTGTAATGAGTCAAACATGGATTACGACAGCTCTATTAAGAGCACAGAAATCCCTCCAAGTTCCCTAAGTGAGAACTCGCAGGAAAACAGGATGGACTTCAAGAATGTTGTTTACTGCCGTTTTGCACATGGATCTGAGAGTGTCTGCCCGCCTGCCTCAGTTCTCACCAACCTGCCAGCCTTTTCACCAGCCTGTCTCCTCAGCCTTATGGCCTCTCACGGCTCTTCTCCCAGCCTTGGATCCACCACCTGCCCTTTCCCATGCCCATGGCAGCTGCCCGCGCCGTCAGATGGACTGAACGTAGCTCATTGCAGTACCGTGAGGAAGGTCTCATGTGGCCTCTCCCTTGGTGCCAGTGAACCCATTTTGGTTGTGCACATGCCCACCCCCTACACACACAGATGTGCAGCCCCACTGTCGCTGACTGGGGACCCAGAGTTACATCACAGGATGGATTGGCTTGTCTACACAATTCCCCATCAGAAAAGCCAACAGCCTTGCAAGTTTTCCCCCGACCCTGGACTCAGCAGATGCCTCTGTACTCCCTCCTGCTGGTTCCCAGCCTACCCTTTCAGGGTCATCTGGACCACTTAGTTCTTCACCCATTCCCTATTGGCAGCACATCAGGGGCACGCCCGTCCTTCCAGCTGCTTCCTTGTGCCCCAGTGACTTGTGTGGGCATAGCTGGCAAGCCATGGAGCCGTGGGCTTTTCCCCCGAGATGCCAACCCTCCCACTCAAGAGGTCAGGAGGCCCCTCTAAGGTTATCTGCAGTGAGAGGATTCACACCAGGCCACAAGCCACCAGAGGCCTTTTGCCACCTCCCGAGTTGAAGAAGGCCAGGGAGGCTGCGCTCTCAGCCTTGGGGAAAAATCCCCATGAGACCTGAATTCACCCCAGGGCCCACGGGCCGCTCAGCCTTACCATCGTCCTCATCTGAGATTGTCGTGCCATCTTCGTTGTCTGGGCATCTAGCCCTCCCCAGCCCCCAGCGGGTGTTGGAGGCTCCAGGTCTTGGTTTTCAGTGAAGTCCCAGTTTCCACTCCTTGCATGCCACTGTGCAAGGCCACTCGTCACTGTTCCTCAGAAGCCTCTGGACATGGGGCTTGGTGGGGTTAAAGTGTTATGTGTAAATACTGGTTTGGTTTCATTTTTAGCATTTTACTTGGTAACTGGTTGTTTTCTTTTTGGGGGTGGGAGGGTTGGTTTGTAAAAACTCTCTACTCTTTTGGAATGTAATTTCTAAGTTTGTTTCTTCAAATGCCTTTTTTATGTCTTGGTAACATTCCCAAAGCAGAAAACTGCCTGACCCACAAGTGGGGGCTCCCCTGGAGGATTGGGGTGCCAGGAAGGAATGCTGCCCTTCTTCCCTTTCTTCCCCTTCCTGTTCCCATCTACCCTTTACTCCTACCTGCTTTTTCCTCCTCTTCCTCCCTTAGCTTTCTTCCTCCTTTGCCCCATTTCCTCTTTTTTCAACCAAAGTCCCAAGGAACCCTGGGGTCCTAATCTCCTACAGACTGCCTGATGTGGGTGCATGGGTTGACATCAGTTGGTTGGGGGAGGTGGGGGACCAACTCCATGACTGACCCAAAACTGGGTGACTTTACATTTCCTGTGTCTGACCTCTTCCGCCAAATTAGACTGTCCTGGAGGCAGCGGTGACTGTACATGAATGAAAATAAATCAAACCACTTTGGTGCATTGGCTCTAAGGCCTGGATCACGCACAAGTCATCAAAATTCAGTTCCCAGTCCTACCAACCCTTTCTCCCAGTCTTTCCTCACCAAAAGCTGGCCTCCAAGAGGTCTTGCTGTCTATGACCACAAAAAAAAGAGCCCTATCGCTTGGCCCCCAAAGGAATGCTCTTCTATTTTCTGGCCTCCAGGTGACAAAGCTGAGGGCCCATAGACTTGATCCTCTTACACCCTGATGCTGGTAAGGAGCCATCATACCTGCTCTCAGGTACTTTTCATGGATTTATCACCCAGCCTCTTTTGCCCGGATAATGTCAACGCTCTTCCTCCCTCTCCCTGCCCATCTAGGGTGTCTCCCTGCTCCAGCCTTATCAGCCACCAAGTCCCTCTACCTCTTCACTAATAATGACAACAATCCCCTATACATCCCACCATGAGCACTTTACTATTTGGAGATCACTTTCCTCTTCCCCATCTCCTTTAGGTCTCTCAAAGACAACTTTCCGGAGGACAGAAACTGAGGTACAGGCCGCATCCCAGAGCACCCACCTGGGAAGCCAGCAAGTTTAGACAAGAACTTTGGTCTAGTGGATCCCCTAGCCCTACTCTGTCCCGATTGCTATGCAAACCCACTGTGTCACTGGGAGCACTGGCAAGGCTTAGGACACCCAGAACATGCCATGCATGTTCACCAAAATGCCACCAACAAGTCTACCCACCCCATCACTGGACATGTGTTCCAGAGGGTGTTCTGAGGACCCCTGCATTGGAATCCTTTGAAGGCCTGTGCAAGATGCAAATTCCTGAACTCCACTTCAGCCTTCTGAGACAAGAATCTGCATACTTAGCCAGTCCCCAGGGTATCCCAAGCACTCCTGGCCACAGCATTTGTGTTCACAGCCTGACCATTAGGCCATCATTCTTTTCATCAGTAATTACAATGTTATATTATTTTATTTTATTTTTGCAGTAATGGGGAGTGAACCTAAGGGCCCTCCACCACCTAGCCACCTCCCCAGCTCTTTTTTATTTATTTATTTATTTATTAAATTTTGAGGCAGCATCTTGCTAAGTTTCTAAGCCTGGCCCCAAATTTGTGATCCTCCTGCCTCAGCATCCTGAGCTGCTGGGATGACAGGCAAGCACCACCATGTCCAGCCTGCAACACTGTATTCTTAAAAAGAGTACTGAGCGCCAAGCTGGGCCTTACAGAACCTGGTCCTTCACCAAACTCTGCTTTGGTCTAATTACCCTGAAGATTTCCAAAAAATTCAGAAACAATGAACAATCTTATACATTTTTTAATAATTTTTTAACTTGTTGATAGAACTTTATTTATTTATAAGTGGTGCTGAGGATCGAACCCAGCACACATGCTTGGCAAGCGCTCTACCACTGAGCCACAACCCCAGCCCCTTAATCATACACATTTAATGAGACAGCAAAAAATAGAAAATCAAAAGGCAAGATAATGTATTCTTCATATCTGCCTGATTTAATTCCCATAAATGTTACTCTTGTGTTTCTTCACAGGCATAGCAAAAAGGAAAAAAAAAATCATATGATTTTATAACTTTCATCATCCAGTCATGGCAAGCAAGCAATTCTTCTGCTACTAATTTAATATATATATGTCCTCTCTTCAAAGGCCTGGAGCCACTTAGTGTTATTACAAGTTAAGCTGAGATGCAAGGATGTTTTCCAGGAGACTATTGTTAAAAAAAAAAACAAACTGCCACCAACTTGAATGACCTTGGCTCAATCATGTGGCTAGCCTATGCCTCAGTTTCCCCAGCTATAAAGTGGGGATAATGGCCTACCTCTTGTGGCTGTCGTGAGGACCAAATACAACACTGTGCCTGCAGGTCTACCTGGAAAAGTGCGAGGTTCTATACTAATGTAAATGGTTTGACCACACTCATTGTTCCCAGGTCAGCCCCTCAGTGCCCTGGTGCTGGGGATGACACTGCCTCATCTGTTTGTTGGTTTTAATAAATAAAAAGGAGACTACATGTGAATCTGTACCAACCTCCTCACTTATTTTTTTAATTGTGGCAAAATATACATATTGTAATTGGCTACTTTCACTTTATTTTTAGTGGCTTTTAGTATGCACACAGTGTTGTGTAATCCTCACTCCCAGCCATTTCAGAACTTTTTCATCATCCCAAACTATAACTCTGTATCCTCTAAACACTAGTTCCCCATCCTCCCTGCTGCCCCCAGCCCCTGGCATCCTCTAGTCTCCTTTCTTCCTCCTTGGGTCAGCCTACTCTCAGAACCTCATGGAGGTGGAATCCTACCACATCAGTCCTTTGTCTTAGCCTTTTTGATTTTTAGGTGAGGAAATCAGGCCCAGAGAAGGGAGTAGCTCACCCCGGGCCTCACAGCAAACCAGAGGCAGAGCCAAAACCAGGTCCTGGGCTGACTGCCAGCAGGCCCTGTACCCCTGATGAGGCACCTCTCTGCCTTTCATGATCTTGGCTGAGCCCCTTTCTCTGGGCTTGGTGTACTTGCTTCCATCCTCTTACTCATCCTCTCATTTCTCATCTTCCAAAGACCCCTGCCTGCCCGCCTCCCCCCACTCCCCCCCAAGCTGATTCCTTCCAGCAGATGGAGAGTCATTGGCCCATGGCCAGGTTTTCCTCCTCTGGGCCCCAGGTTTACTGCCGTACCAGCTCTCAGCCCTCCCGGGACATCCCCGCCCCAGCACTGTTCCTTCTACAGATTTCTTACAACCTCAATGAAGCCTCCCTGCCCTCCTATCAGGGGAGTGCTCCTGTCATCTCCCAACTTCAATATTTGCTCTCAGATCTGGTGTCCTGCATTCCATGCTTGTTTTGTTTCCTCACCCCAGAGGGTCCCCTTGCCCTCATGTATCAGGCAGTACCAGCCCTGCCAGCCCTTCCCATTGGGTTCACCCCACCTCAGCAACCCCAAAGTCCAGAAGGATAACCCCCAGTCTCCCCCTTGAGCCACACTATCTTCTCTCTCTCTCTGCAGCCTCCCGGCACTTTCCACTGGGGGGCTATGGTGGATGTGGACTTGGATCCCCCTCTTGGATGGCCCTGGTTGTAAGACAGATTCAGTCTGACTCGGGTTCTTCTTTCCCTCTCTCTGTACATCTGTCTGTCTAACCATTTTTTTCTAACCCTGCGTATCATCACCTCCAGAATAGTTTACCCTGGAAGAACCTATAGATTGCACTCCCAATGTGCAGAATCCATAGACCCAAGATCCAAAGGCGACCGAGGACATAATGCCAGGCCTGAGTCCCTCTTCAAGGCTTCTCCACCACCTGCCCTGCCCACTCCTTCCTCCCCATCCTGAGACCCTTCTCTCCCCCTTGGCTATCCCACTGGCCCTGCTCCCTGCACTCCCTGCCCTTCACCAGCTCTCTGGACTCCAGACCCATAGGGAAGGAACTTTGGTTTCCTCTTAACTCTCCTGAAAGGGTGAGGCAGTCTGAACCTGGCTGCCTTGTTAACACTCCATTCTGAAGCCACCTAAACCACTCCCATGAAGAAGGATCTCAGCTAGCCGTCTGGAAACCTAGCCTAAACCTGGGCTGATTTCTTAATTTCTCTGACCTTCTCAATCTTACGGTCTTCTGATGAGCATTAGGATGACCCTATGGGCCCCAGAGCACCCTCCAAAGCTCCGCCACTGATCTCTGTGCCTTAGTTTACTTCTCTGCACAGGGGGGCTCACCAAAAGTCCATTCCCAGTATCTTTCTAGACCCTTTGGTGCCTCTACGGCTGGACCTTGCCTGCCATGGCCCTGCCTGGAGGTACCAGGTTGCCAAGGCCAAGGATAAGGTGACTGGGGCACCATTCCAGACCACTAGCTCTCAAATTGTGTCCCAGTAGCAGGAGCATCACCAGGGAACTTGGCAGAAGTGCAAATTTTGCCCCCCCCCGGGGGGTGGGCATACTGAATTAGAACTTCCCAGGCAGGTAACAGCAAGTTGGGATTTGAAAGAGTTTTCCAGGTCATTCCCACATGCACAAGCTGGCCAACTGCTGGCCCAGGCTAGCAGTGAGTGCAGGCTGGAATGGACTGGAGCTGGCAAAGAACGGGGGCCGCTGCCCCCCATAAAACTACAACAATAAAAACAACCATTGGTGTCTCTGCTTCCAGGAAGCTGGTGGGCTGGGGAGGACATGCAGTTTTCCCTTTCCTGTCCCTGGCTCAGTGCCAGCCCTGCTCACCCTCTCCCATTTGTCTGGGTTTTACAAAAGGCTGTCTGGGCAGTGGCAGCAGGCAAGGGTGGGAGTCCTGGAGAGACAAGAGGCAAAGGACCCTGTTAGTTTGTCCCTTGGGAACCTCATCATAGGCCAGATGGTCTCTCTCCAAGTGGAAAGAATCCTAACTCTACAAGAAAAAAATCCTAAGTCTCCAGCTCCTCCTCTTCCTCCCAACCCTAGGAAGACCTTATTATAGATAGTGCCAAAAAAGCTCCAAATCCCCCACACCTGGGGAAGAGAGCCAGAAGCTGTCCTTCCTCTTTATCCTGGTCCCTCCCCAGCTCCTGCCAATACTGTGAAGCCCCCTTCCTACTCAGCCTGGTGAGGGTCCTGCAGCTGTGGGTCCTGGGAGACCCCCAGGGAAAGGCCCCCTGGGAGGGAAGGGACCAAGGGCATCCTTGGGCCAACTGTCCACCTGTCCTTTCCACTGCTCTCTCCTCCTCTGTCTTCAAAAGGCTCATTCCCAGGATGGATTGGGTGCTAGGACAACTGCAGTCCAATCCACCAGCTCTCCCTGCCCCCCCTGTGTCTTATTTCAGACATGAGAATAATTGTACAGTGTAAACTTACAAAACGTTTTTAATGGTTGTAGATTGGAAATAAAGTATGTCATATGAACAGTTGCTATGACTTGGCTTCCTCTCTGATTTCTCTAGCAGGGTGGGGGTGGGGCAGCAGGTTTGAAACTTGACTCCACCCCACCTGCATTTGCCTGGGAAGACGGGAATACTAGCTGGTAGTGTCACTTGGGAGGGACCACCAGGAGTTCAAGCTGCTTACATGGCTGATTCAGTGTCTCCCAGGAGGTGCGTTATGACCAGTAAGAAATGCAGAGCATTCAAGAAGAAAAACAGGATTAAGCTTTTCTGCAAAAGACTTAAAAGAATTTATTATGGTTAAAAAAAAAAAAAAGGACAATTAAGACATTGTCCTGAAATTAATTATCTCTAAACATCTTTTACCTCTCACAGATGCTGTAGGTCAAGAATTTGGGAGCTGGGTTGTCCTGCTTCAGGGTCTCTGGAGGCTGCAGTCAGATGTCAATTAGGCTGCAGTTATTCACACTTTATTCATTTTGATGCTGGCGATGGAACCTCACACATGCTAACAAACACTGTACCACGATTCACACCATCCAACCCTGGCTGCAGTTGTCTGAATGCCTGACAAGGGCTACAAGGGCGATTTGAAAGGTGGCTAATTCACATACCTGACAAGTCAGTGCTGGCTATGGGCAAGAGGCCTCAGGTCCTCAACAGGCAGACCTCTCCATAGACCTGCTGGTGTATAGTCACAACATGGCAACTAGCTTCACTCAGCTACATCCCCAACCCTTTTCAGTTTATCTTGAAACAGGATGTTTGGGACTATAGGTATGTGGCACTATGCCCAGCTTCTACAATATTGTTGAGAGCCGCAGGGGCTATACAAACCATATCATTTCAGTGTGGGAAGGGACAGTACAAGGGCATAAACACCAGGAAGTGAATCACTGAGGCCATCTTGGAAGCTGAATATCACATAATATTTGAGAGATCTCTTCTTTTATAAGGGGTTAATAACAGCCAGGCCTGTACCAGGTACTAAGGACACAATAGATGGGTCTAGAAAACACGATATCTAATGTCAAGGGGTTGGGGAGCCCAGGGGAACCAGGAAAGTCTTCACAAAGGAAGGGAAATCTGAACTGACACTAAGGTTGAGATGCTGACCAGATGAAGGGGATGGTGTTGGACTACAATACAAGCAAAAGACTAAGGGGAGATGGTACAGAGGGAGGAACAGCGTGTATGAAAGCCCAGTATAAAGAGCAGACAACTACTCAAGAGACTGAGGCAAAGGATCACATGTTTGAGCCAGCCTGAGCAAATTTGCAAGACCTTATCTCAAGCTAAAAATTTAAAAGTGCTAAGAATGTAGCTCAGTAGTACTTTGCCAAGCATGTATTGTTGAACTACAATGCAAACAAAAGACCACTGACTCCAATTTTAAATCAAATTAAAGCAAGCTTGGATTGTGTTCACAAAAGCTGGCCAGCGACTGTCTCTCCCAAAGACGGGCTAGAGATCAACCCCCAGATCTCCAGGTAAAAGGTTTTATTTTTTATTTATTTATTTTTGTTTTCTATTTATTTGTTTTTTTTTAGTTTTCAGCGGACATAACATCTTTGTTTGTATGTGGTGCTGAGGATCGAACCCGGGCTGCATGTATGCCAGGCGGGCGTGCTACTGCTTGAGCCACATCCTCAGCCCCGGTAAAAGGTTTTATAGCACAAAGAGTTACAAAGGGGGGTGTCTTGGGAACTTACAGTTAACAGGATCTGGCAAGCAAAATACAAAGGCAGATAGCAGGTTAATGATCTACGTAGCTTAACATTTCAAGGTAGGGAGTACATTGAGATTCCAACATTAGAATTTATGAGGTGCTGCTGAGGTTTTAGGAGGGTTGTTATCTGGTCAAGGAGAGCCAGGCATGAGTGAGTTCAGAGTACACACAGGAATTTCAAACAAGTTTAAACATCAGGTTGTCAGGCCAAATAGAAATCTTAGTATTTTATGGTAAAACAGAAATGAGCTTTTCATAACTTTGTGACAAGATGAGATGACTCCCAACCTTAAGATGGAATTAGGTTGGGTTCATCAGTATGAGGCCCCAACTTCAATCCCCAGTCCTGCAAAAGAAAGCAGAGCAGTGCCAGGCGTGGTGGCACACACCTGTAATCACAGCAGCTTGGGAGGCTGAGGCAGGAGTATCATGAGTTCAAAGCCAGCCTCAGCAACTTCGAGGCACTAAGCAACTTAGTGAGTCTCTAAATAAAATACAAAATAACACTGGGGATGTGGCTCAGTGGCTGAGTGCCACTGAGTTCAATCCCCAGTACTACCCCCAGGCCAAATAAAATAAAAGAAAGAAAGAAAAGAAAGCAGAGAAGAACTAGAGAAATTAAACAAGCTTGGTGTCTATGGAATGGGGAATGATGAAAGAAGAGGCTGCGTCAGATCACACAGTGCCTTTATAGAGAAAGGATTTTTATACATCCTGTGGACAGAAGGGAGCCGTGGGAGAATTCTGAGCAGAAAAAAGACATAGAGGAAAAAATAAAGTCACCCAGAAAAAAAAAAAAAAAAAAAAAAAAAAAGACATAGAGGATGTTCTGGCTCTGGATTCCATGAGGCAGTATTCTCAGTATGTCCCAGGATGGCCTGTCCTGGTTGGTTCCACTGAGTTCTGTCTTAGACCATTGACTAATGGCCACACCTGCTATGGAAGGATGGCCAGTTATGCTACTGTTGCCTTTACCCACTCCTTTTTCAGGCCTTGTGAACTGCTCTTAATTCAACATTTGCAGGTTTTAGAGCTAAAAGAAAGGACTGCATTCATCAAAGGGGACATTTTGATGGCACTACATTGGGTGCTGAGGAAGCAGCCTGCTTTCTGGAGCCTCCCAGACCAACAGGGATAGTGGAGCAGACACTGGTTGGGATCCTGGAGCGCAGAAGGGACATCTGGAGCACAGAGAAGGCTCTGAGAGAGATGGTTCTTTAGATGAGGCTTAAAACTGGGGAATTTTGCTAGGAAGAGCAAGGAATGGCTTCCAACACAAAAAGCACAGCTTGAACAAAGAAGACATCTCACCAGGTGGGCAGAAGAGTTGGAAGGGGTTTGGGGAGGGGTAGCCTGGGATGGGGGTGAAAAGAAGAGTTCTCCAACTTTGCCAAGTACTTGAAGGGGCCCCAAGAACAGGAGCGGGATAGGCTGGGGCAAACCAAGCTCAGAGCTCCAATTCTCCCTGGAGACAGAGCTTTTGGAGATAGGGGATAAAGAGAGGGGGGATTGGGGGGGTTGTGGCTCAGTGGTGTGAGGCACTGGGTTAGACTCTCAGCACCACACAAAAATACATAAAATAAAGGTTAAAAAAAAAAGAATGCTTTAAAAAAAAAAAAAAAAGGAGGGGAGACCATGGCCTAGCGACGAGCACATGACAACTGATGCTCTCTCATGCGCTGCCTGCCTTCCTCAAGTATCTATCTGGACCTGTTTCCCCATCAAAGAAGGGTTCTGGGACGGTCGGACGCAAAAAGGACACCTTAAACTGGAACGTCTACGAGGGGACTCCAGACCGTGTCACCTGGAGAGATGGTGATGTGGTGACGTAAGCAGTCGGAACAGAAAGGAAGGGCTTGGACAGGGCGGGCGGGCAACAACGTCGACGCCGCAGCACGCATGCGCTAAGCCGCAGAAGGGCGTTCCCTGCGCGCGAGAGCCTGTCGGCCGCGCATGCGCCGTTGGTTGGCGGGAGCTTCGGAAGTGGTAGCCGTGACGTTGACTGCGGACCGCGCGCGGAGGTGCACCTGAGAAGACCCGCCTCAGTGGCTCGGGGGTCCAGGGCTGAGATAGGGCCGCGGACTGAGTAACCCGTGGCCGGTGTTTCAGGAACGGAGGCTCCGAGCTGCATGGGCGTCGCACCGAGGTCAGGAAGTCGCACACCTCTCCCCTGCTTATCCCCTTCCCAGCCTCTGTGTGCAGCCAGCCCACCGCTGTCGCTGCTCGAGACTGGGAGCCTCCTGGCGCGGCGACCTTCTCTGGAAGTAAAGAAACCCGAGGGCGGGTGCGCCTCCAGCTCGGGCAGGGCCGAGGCCTAGAGTCCTGAAATATGGACTCAAAAGTGAAGATACACATAAAAAAGGAGACCGGGGGGCGCGCAGGGGCTGGCTGCGGGACGAGCTGGGGCAGGCTTTCCGCCCCCTCCGAACCTTCGTTCCCCACTCTCCAAAGTGGAGTGTGTACTAGCACCGAAAGTTGGGGAAGGGATGAAGCGGGACCATGAAGTGAGTAAAGCGCTTACATGGCACGGGTCCTAACGGATCGGAAGCGCTTAGGTGACAAATTGGTGCTATTGTCCTAGCTTGGTCTGTGTGATAAGTCATAAGGAGGGTGAGGATTTCGATTTTGAAGGACCCTTCTTTATTGTGTTGCCTTTCCCACGTTGTCTCTCGGCATCTGTTCATTTCTCTTTACCAAGCACCTCCACATCCAGATGGCTGCTAGTAGCATGAACGATGAAGAGATGTTCTCTCAGCTGTATCCCTGCCCTCTTTTTAAGTCAGTTGTCTGTGACAGACACCGGGGAGACAGATATGTTAACAAACTTTACAGCCAGGACTAGAGACCAGGGGATGTGGCTACCAAATCTCACAGTAGAAGTGGCTTCATATTTAAGTGAGGTTGGGAAGGATGAATGTTATACAGAAAGGACAGATATGTGCAAAGATTCAAAAGTGCTACAGGGAAAGGGCATCACAGAGATCCCAACTTAGGTTAAGCTGGGACTAGCTTATTGAAAGTTGTTGAATGCAAGGTGGGAAAATTTTCTGCAGTTGTTTTAAAGAATGGATTGCACTGGAGCAGTGTTGAATGCAGAAAAAAACAGTGAAGAAACTGATAATGAGGCGGCGAGAGAGCAGAAATTGTGAGACTTAAACTAGTAGGGACTGGGGTTGTTGCTCAGTGGTAGAGCACTTGCCTAGCATATGGGTTTGATCTTCAGCACCACATAAAAATAAATAAAAAAGATGTTGTGGGGCTGGGATTGTGGCTCAGTAGTAGATCGCTTGCCTAGCACATGTGAAGTACTGGGTTTGATCCTCAGTACCACATAAGATAAAGGTATTGTGTCCACCTACAAATAAAAAATATATTTTAAAAAGGATATTGTCTCCATCTACAACTAAAAATTTTTGAAAAACTAAACTAGTAATGGTGGCAATGGAGGAAAGATTTAGAGACCTGGTAGAACTGATATGCCTTTTGGAAAGCTAAGAGTAAGGAATAAAGGATAATGTGGTTTTTCTAGTTTGGAAGACCAAGTAGGTCCTAATGCCATTAACTGAATTAAGGAATTAGGGACTACTTAAACAAAGTTTTAGCTAGTGGAAGATAGGGAAATATGTGTATTTCTAGCAATAAATTCTGTAGAAGTTCAGAATAGAGAGCAATGACCTATTCTTTATACTCTGTGTAGGAGGTGGGTGAAGGCAATTCAGAGAGGATGGGAAGCACAGGTCTATTCTAGGGTAGAAAAGCTCCTGTGACACTAGACCTGAAATGTAAAGGAACAGATCACTTTGTTTTCCTGTTTTCAGAGTTTTCTACCTAGGATGACTTCAGTGACTGAATCAGACATCATAAAAGGTGAGTATTGCGAAAGTCCAAGGCCTCTTGCCTTGAGTTCAGGCTTCTGAGCTATTACCTAATTGTTTCCTGGATAGTGGTTGATTTATTGTCACATTCATGTATTTGCAGAAATGCTTCCTCAGTGTTTCCATGATCTGAGTGCATTTTCCTCCTTCTCTTTTCTCCACACACACCCCCTTCTTCTCCTTTTTCTCTTCCTCCTCCTCCCTCTTCCCTCTTCTTTCATCTTCTTGCATCTTGCTGTGCTCAGGCTGGCCCAAACTCCTGGGCTCAGTTGATCCTCCTGCCTCAGGCTCCCAAATAGCTGCTCAAATAGTTGGGACCACAGGCGTATGCCTCTGTGTAGGGGCAGGTTTTCTTTTTCCATCTTTTTGCTCATATACTTAGTTGTGGTGGGTTTGATTTTGTATTTTGACTTTTTTATAACAAATGCTAGAAGAGAATCCAGTGACGTCTAAGATACATGATCATCAATTGCAATCAAGTTTCAACCCTGTGGAAGTGTTTACTAAATCATCTGTCTCCTTGGAGATGACTCAAGCAAAGGAAAGAATTCACCTTGGCTCTAGCCCAGAAAAAGGGGAAAGTTCTGATGTCAGCCACCAGGAAGGACTTCAGTTGAGGTCCCTTCATTTGTCCACTCAAGAACAGTCTGTCCATCATGGAGACAGGAGACAGTCCTGGCGTCGAGCAAGTATGAATGAAATAAACCGACGGAAGTCACTGCCTCCCTTCCATCAGGGCATCACAGGTGGGGTGCTATGTACATAAAACAGGTTCCAGCTCAGATAAGAGGCAGTGAGGAAGGACAGGAATGACAAAGTATAACAGAATAGACTTGACTTTGCTTCTTTTTAGCTATGTGACTTTGAGCAAATCACTTCACCTTTTTGAGCCTCAGTTCCTCACCTATAAAATGGAAACAATAATACCTACTGTGTAAGGATGTTCTATGTTTATAAATTCTGATGTCAGACCTATTAAATATTCAGTATTATTGATGTTTATGTCATATGAGCCATCATGTACATATTCTGATTGATTGCTAATTATTCAACACTTATCCCCTGCTCAGATGATAGACATTAAAGAGTTTTTCCAGTAGCTTTCGCCTCATACCTAAAGTGGAACAGAAGTTGGATGGGTTAATACCTGATTTTAGCCTTTATAACTAGGAAAAAACTCAAAAGTGAAGATACACATAAAAATATCTAGACTGGACTGAGGTGTAGCTCAGTGGTGAAGTGTTCGCTAAGGAGCATGAGGTGTTGGGCTCAATCCCCTACACCAAAAAAGAAAAGAATGAATGAAAATGTAGTTCTTAAGAATACCATATTTGAATGTTGTTTTGTGTGAATTTATATCTGAGCATCAAAATATAGAATATAATATGGAAAATCTAGTATGGAATTGAGCAAATTACTTAACCTCCTTTGCCTTAAGGTCCTTGCCAGTAAACTGGGAGTGAAATAATACCTATCTTACAGGGCTGTATGAGAACTAAATGAGTTGATGTATAACATAGTACACATGTACTTGGAACGGAGTAATATCTCAAATGTTAAGCTATTATAATTACTTTAAGATATCACCATCCAGCCAGGTGTGGTGGCACACTTAAAATCTCAGCCAAGGCAGGAGGATGGCAAGTTTGAGGCCATCCTTGGCAACTTAGTGAAACTCTGTCTCAAAATAATAAGTAAAGGGTAGGAATGTAGCTAAGTGGTAGAGCATCCTGGGTTCAATTCCCAGTACAGCAAATAAATAAATAAATAAATAAATAAAGATAACTACCATCCAAGTGGTCTGATGTATAGAAGGAAACTGGATAAAAACAGCCGTTTAACACATCAGAAAATTGCTGCCAATTCAATGCCCATGTACTTTATTCCCTAGATGTGCCAAGAAAACATTAGTAGTTCCTTAGGATTACCCCTAACTTCATTTAATTCCAGAGCATTTTTAGACTTAAAACTCTGTATAACAGGAAATCACCAATGTAATAAAATTGCTTATTTTCTGGTTGTTCCTGGCCACCTGCCAGGTTTCCTTGGTTACAGGCAGAAAGAATCCTATTTTTCTTGACTAACAACAGTAAGAATCAAGAGAGGAGTCTTGAGAATTTTAAAAAATGGCAAGCTAAAGCTGGAGGGCAAAAAGACATGTAGCTCTCATAATTCTCAAAGCAGACATCCTTGGCTATATAAATTGTTTTGTTTTGTTTTTGTACTGGGACTTGAACCCAGGGGCACTTTACCACTGGGCTACATCCTCAGTGTTTTTTTAAATTTTGAGACAGGGTCCTGCTAAGTTGCTGAGGCTGGCCTTCAACTTTCAATCCTCCTGCCTCAGCCTCCTGAATCACTGGGATTACAGGTGTGCACCACCACACTCAGCTATATAATTGTTTTGATTTATTTTTTTGTGTGTGGTGCTGGGGATTGAACCCAGGGCCTTATACATGCAAGGCAAGCACTCTACCAACTGAGCTATATCCCCAGCTCTATATAATTATTTTTAAATGGAAATAATTAAAATTAACAATATCTATATTTTGCAGTTGAGGAATCAATGGCATAATTATGGAAAGTGTCCAGTCAATGTGGTCTCATAACTCACTATGTGACCTTGAGTAAATTATCTGTTACCCAGCTTTGTTCCTTAGCATTATCTTTCATTAGATGGAATTGATAAGATACTTGCCTCTAAGTTTAATGAGGTGTACATAGCATTTAATAAAATGTTTTTTATATAGCAAGTGTTCAATAGGTGTTAGCTCTTCATGTTGAGTAGGTCATTTTAGGGAGGCAGCATGGTACTTAGTGGGTAAAACACTGATTTTGGTGATAGATTTGGGTTTGAATCATGACTCCTCCAGTCTCTGATTTCAGACAAATCACTTCGGTTTCCCCATTTCTAAAATGGAGAGCTTGTGGAATTTATAAGAAGACTTTTAATGTCTTTAAAGCACCTTGCAGTGCCTGTCATAAAAATGCTCAAAGGTTCTCACCTGCTTTCTTTGGTGAATATGAATTATAAAAAGTTATTTTATATCTACCTTGTTTAACAAAATAAAAGTTTAATGTAATACCTAAGAAAGATTCTTATAACTTTTTTTAAGTTTGGATATACAAATAGGAAATTTGGATTTTCCTCTGGGATTCTGGAAGAATTAGAATTCTCCCTTTAATCAGAGAAGGCTCCTTCTTGCTTTAAGTTGGATTGCATCAAGGGAGGAAAATTTTATTTTGTTTACTTTGCTGGCTGTGTAAGTATGCATTTCCTTAAATGTGGTGATATTTTATCTTAGAGCTCAGCAGGTCCATCAGTGTTGACTTAGCAGAAAGCAAACGGCTTGGTGCTCTCCTGCTTTCAAGTTTTCAGGTGAGATTCTTGGGATTGGGAAATGCTTTCAACTTTTTTGTTGTTTCAACTGTTATTGTTCCAACTTCAGAGATATTAGTACTCGATGAACTGATTAAAAGATGTTTTCTTCAGGTTGAGATTAATGTAAAAGCCAGATTTAACCCCAGCAGCATGTTCTTTTTGGACCAAATTCTCTACTAGTCTCATTGTTGCTGCTGTACTAACTGAGCAGCTAACAGATTTCCCCAGTACAGTATCTTTTGCCCATTGACCGCAAGTGATGGGAATTTAAAGTGGGTAGAGGTAAAAATTGAAGTTTCATTACAAACATTGGAGGTATGATTACATGCTAAACCAATATATGATATATGTCATATAGTTAATATTTATTTTTTAGTTGTAGGTGGACATAATACCTTTATTTTATTTTTATGTGGTGCTGAGGATTGAACCCAGTGCCTCAAGCATTCTAAGCGAGCACTCTTCCTCTGAGCCACAACCTCAGCCCCTAATTATATTGTTTATGCTATGGCTCACTGGTGCTTATGGCAGTTTAGAGAAGCAAATAATTTGTGTGAATTAAATGACATTTTTTTTTTCTGAGTTAAAATGTGTAGTCTGAGCAACAAAGTGTTTTATTCCTGATTTATTCTGTTTATATGAAAAGTCTTAGGTGAAAAAAAATTAAATCATATTTAGTTTATATTTATTAAACATTACAAAGCTATAGGACTGGCCTGGAAATTTTTTTGTTGTTGTACTGAAAAAACTTTTCTTTTTTAGTTCTCGGTACAGAAACTTGAACCTTTCCTAAGGAACACTAAAGGCTTCAGTCTTGAAAGTTTTAGAGCAAAAGGTAAGTTACTAAGAATAGATGAGTGAGCTTTGAACCTGGTACTTCATTTTTAAAAAGACCTAGAAAATACTCAGATTTACTTGTCAGCAGAGATTGTTTATCTCAGAATTGTACCATAATTAGAGTAGACACATCTGGGTTAGCTTGATGGATAATTAACATTTCCCCTTCACATTCTTCACCTGAGTGTTACAGTAGGCTCTTTCAAGTCTAGCAGAGACCTGTTTTTACCTTGAGCACATTTTTTTTGTTTGTTTGTTTGTTTGTTTTTTTGGATTGAACCCAGGGTAGCTTAACCACTGAGCCATATCTCCAACCCTTTTTATTTTTTATTTTGAGACAGGGTCTCACTAAGTTGTTGGGAGGGCCTCAAATTTGGGATCTTCTGCCTTAGCCTTTCAAGTCATTGGGATTGTAGATAAGCATGTGCCACCTCTCCCTGTGTGCATGTATTTTTTTATTTGCCATCATTATCTCTCATTACACTCTTGCCTATTTCCTGACTTCTGTAATGCTTTTCCTTCTAGTGCCAGGAGTTCATTTCTCTTGAAAAAAATGAAGTTATCAGTACTTATATACCTGTTTAACTCCTTTTTCACTAGTCAAGTATAAAACCACTTAAAAATGACATGAAGAAGTTATCTTCCATTTTTTCTATATATAGTAGAGAAAATAGACAACATTTTTCTGCATACTTGGACCACTTTTTTGAGTGAATGAGAGGGCCAGAATGTAACAGAACACTAGAAGGTGTTTTCTAGACCTAAGAACACCTTAAGTATCTTTGTTAGCTCATTGTGAAAATTTATATTCTTTCTATTTTATGACATTATTTTACTCTCTCTAGCATCTTCTCTTTCTGAGGAGTTAAAACATTTTGCAGACAGACTGGAAAGTGATGGAACTCTACAAAAATGTTTTGAAGATTCAAAAGAGTAAGAGCAATTCCCCTCTGTCCTAAATTATAACTGAATTAGGACTTTTCATTATTATTAAACAGTTGTTTATTCTTTCAACAAACATTTATATAGCATTTTCGTATGTATCAGGATCTTTCAAGTATTGGGGATACAATGATAAATAAGCCTAACAATAATCTTTTAATCATACATGGTAATAAAGGAGACAGTCAAATACAGAGAAAATGTGATTTCAGATAGTGATGATCAAGAAAGTTAAAAAATATTGGGGCTGGGGTTGTGGCTCAGCGGTAGAGCGCTCGCCTAGCATGTGCAAGGCCCTGGGTTCAATCCTCAGCACCACATAAAAATAAATAAATAAAATAAGTGTATTGTGTCCAATTACAACTAAAAAATAAATATAAAAAAAAGAAAATTAAAAAATATATGACTTTAGGATGTGAGCAACTTAAGGTAGAATGTTCAGAGAAATTCTCTAATGATTTGACCTCTGGACTAAAACATGTAAGACTGAATGATGAGTAGGAACCAGCCATGGAAAGATGAAAAAAGCTCAATTCAGATCTTTGCTAGTCAGGTGAGATGAAAGAAAATCATGTTCTTTGGATCTTGACAAGCAAGAATATTAGCATAAATTTAAAAATTCCACCTCCAAAATTGGTAGTTCTTCAGGTTCAAGGTTATCCCCAACCTGCTAACTGTGCTCTGCAACAAGCCAAACACTTAGACTTACATCATGAACTTTAAGTTTGGATTTCATGAAGGTCTACTTTTCCATAGGTCCTTAGGATTGACATTTCCAATCAGGAAATGAAAGATATTTTAGCTCAACACAGCATCTCCTTTAATATATTTAAGCACAGGCTACTGCATCTCATCAGTTTCCCAGGCCTAGGTGGAAACACAGGAATGGTGGTACTACTAATTGTCTTTGCCAGGCAGAGTACCAAGAGCACCTACAATATTTTGGCATTTTTAGTGCCTGCTTTCTTTCTGTTAGAATTAATCAACTGAGCTGAGCCATTGAATAACAGTAGGAATCAAAATTGATGAATTGGGTGGAGCCAAAACATAGATAACCCTAAGTGCCAATTTCAAGAGTTCAGGCTTTTCTTCTGTAAGCTGTGTAGTCACAGAGGTTCAAATATGATACTGGGGATTAAGCCTAGGCTCGCCTGAAATTTGTGATCCTCCTGCCTCGGCCTACCAAGTTGTTGGGATTATAGGTATATGCCACCTATAGTCTGGGGCTAGGGTTGTGGCTAAACCTGGGGCTAGGGTTGTGGCTCAGTGGCAGAGCACTTGATTTCCACATGTGAGGCACTAGGTTCGATCCTCAGCACAACATAAAAATTAATAAACAAAAACAGATATATGCCGCCTATAGTTACATCTGAACCCAGCTAATCACAGAGTTTTTAAGCAAGGCAAAAAAATTAAAGGACTATTTTTAGAAAAGTTAATTTGGCCATGGTGTGAATTGGAATGGATGAGAAAAATGGAATATAAAGAGACAAAAGTGAGACAGATCCAGGCATGGTGGTGCATGCCTATAATCCCAGCAACTCAGAAGCTAAGGCAAAAGGATTGCAAGTTTCAGGCTAGCTTTGGCAATTTAGTGAGATCCTGTCTCATAAAAAAGTTTAAAAAGGGACTAGGGATGAAGCTCATGGTAGAAAGCCCCCAGGTTCAATCCCAGTACCGTAAACACATACACACACACACACACACACACACACACACACCAGTGAGATATAAGTCCAAAAACAAATATTTGGTGAAAGATAAAAAGTTAGGAATGTTTTTATGCCACTAAAATTATGTAGGGACTGGGGATGTAGCTTAGGGGTAGAGTGCTTGCCTAGCAAGTGTAAAGCCCTGTGTTCAATCCCCAGCACTGCAAAGAAATTATATAGGACATCATATTAAAAACAAGTATTTCTTGAAAGATTCATGTTAATCTCATAATCCTATCTGTATTCCAGAAAAGCATCAGATTTGTCTCTGGAGAAGTCAGTGGCTGAGATGAAGGAGTATATAACAAAGTAAGTGAAAATGAGTGAACCTTATTTGGGAAAGTCTAAATTAATTCTTCATCTGGGGAATATAAACCTGGGGAAAATGAATTGTAAACATGGTGCTCAGTACTAATATATCAACAATAAAAATTAAAAGGCTGCATATTGAAAAGTTTATGACTCTACTGATGGCTAATTTCATAGGAAGGAGTCTGGGGAATATAAGGATGTTAATTTCATTTTAAGAACTCTTGTTTTATTTGATTAAATTAATATCCTCTGATCAGTTTAGCTTTCTAATCCTTTAATGACTTTTTTATTCACATTTTATAACCAGATTATATTCCTAAGGAACTTATTGTTGCCCTGAGTGATTATGAATGAGATGATCAAAATTAACAGATTTTTTTTTCTCCCCGATTCTGTAGATTTTCTTTAGAAAGTCAGACTTGGGATCAGCTTTTGCTGCGCTACCAGAAAGCAGTACTACCAGAAGCCATGTCCAGGTTAGATCTGTAAACAGGAAGCTATCTTTTTACCTTATGGAATTTGATTTGCATTTATTTCAGTTCTTTTAGCACAAATTGAATGGTGAATCCTTTCTCAGTTCAGTGAACGCATCAAAACTCTGTAAAAGTGTGTATTAGTACTCTCTGACATAAGCAGAGTGTGGCAGAGAAGGAAGGAAAAGTTGGCATCACTATTTTTAGTCTCAGAACAGAATTGCCTCTGTCCTGTGCCTTTGGCTGTGGTTTCACATCCTTAGGGAGACAGGCACATCTCTGCTTTGCACCTGTCCACCTGGGTCTGGGCCAAGTACAGTAGTCAAGAGACCTGAGTGAGCACATGGACTTTGAGATGCAGGTATGCATCCTGAAGGGCTTTCATGGAGACACAGAAACATGCAAGGGGAGTGATAGAGGAGGAAAGAAAGATCCAGATCTTTGTCTGGATCTTGAAAGTGGGAAAGTGCTGAATTTTTATTTAATTGAGCATCTAAACAAGTAAGTTTAAGCTTTTTTTTTTTTTTCCCCCTCCAGTAGTGTTAGCTAGAAAGCCAATTATAAAATGTTAGCCAAGACTCTATAATTGCAAAAGTGGCCTCTCAGTAGAGAGGGGCTTTGAGGAAAATGGTTTGAAAAACTTTTATAATCCAAGGAGTGGGGGTTATCAGTTACTTTATTTACCCCAAACCTATTCTATTTCTGAGGATAGACTCTATATAAGATGGCAGTTTCAGAATAAAAACTTTTGTGGCAAAGTTTATAGTTTAAGAGAAATGCTTCTAGAAGCAGTCTGACTACTTAATTTTGTGACCTCAGGCAGATCATTCTCTTGGAGTCTGTGGTTCCTCATTTGAAAACAGGGATATTACCTCTCATTGGGTTGTTATGTTAAATGGAAAGTGACTAGCAACATTTGGCACCTACAAAGCACTGAGTAAATTGTAGTGATAGTTTTGAAAAGGTTTCCATCAGTTTTCATGAACTCAAGGTAGATCATCATTTTTTTTTTTGGTAAATGTTATAAACATTGACTTTAGGGTAGCAGACTTTGGCTTCCCTTTACTCCAATAATAGCCTTTTTTGTTCATGTACATACTTACTGTTCAGTGGAGTTAACCGACCTAAAACTTTTAGCATTTCTCAGAGTCTAGTGGTATAAAAACTTTAATACAGGACAGTTGTTTCAGAGACCCTTGTGAAGATAGCCTGTACCAGAAGCTGGCAGTGGAGCTCAGTGTGGAGTATTTGGCTAACTGTGTGCAAGGCCCTGGGTTTGATCCCACTACTGCAAAAGAAAAAGGAGATCTGGGCATGGTGGCACACACTTGTACTCCTAGCTGTTCAGGAGCCTGAGGCAAGAGAATCACAAGTTTGAAGCCAGCCTAAATAACTTAGTGAGACCCTCAAAACAATAAATAAATAAACAAATAAATAAATAAATGGACTGGGATGTAGCGCAGGGGTAGAATGCCTCTGGGTTCAGTTGCTACTACCAAAAAAAGAGAGAGAGAGAGAGAGACATCCCATACCTAGAGTAGGGTAGAAAAATATTGATTTGACCTTGTGGGAGGTTTTTTCAGAAATAATCTTTGATATCTTTTCCAGAAAGTGACTATAAAATTCCTTGAAAATCTTTTCTTTTTTTGTTGTTTTAGAGAATCAGCTGAAACCAAAATTACTGAAGTCAAAGTAGAACCTACAACATATCTTGGGTCTTCTCAGAGTGAAGTTCTTAACACAAAACCTGACTATCAGAAAATATTACAGAACCAAAACAAAGTATTTGATCATATGGAGCTGGTGGTGAGTTGGCTCAGTCTTACTTGGTTGAGCTTTCCAGCTTTGCTGCTTGTTATCTATTAGTCAGCTTTCCATCGCTGTGACAAAATCCCTGAAAATAATCAACTTACAAGAAGGAAAGATTTAGTTTGACTCAGTTTTGAACATTTCAGGCCATGGTTGCATGGCCCTATTGTTTTGGGCCTGTTGTGGCACAGTACACCGTGGTGGAACACATGACAGAGAAGGCTGCTTACATTGTGGTGGCTGGGAAGTGAAAGAGGAAGGGGCCTGGGTCCCAGTAACCCTTCAAGGGCACACACCCAGTATCCCTTCAAGCTCCCTCCCACTACGTCCACTATCTCCCAGTAGCACCACAAGCTGGTGACCAAGGCTTTAACATATGAGCCTCTGGGGGACATTCAAAATCCAACTATAGCATCATCCTTGGAAATAAATATAGAGGGCTGGGGATATAGCTCAGTTGGTAGAGTGCTAGCCTTGTAGACACAAGGCCCTGGGTTCCATCCCTAGCACCATAGACAATAAAAAATAATAATAATAAAAAGTAAATATATGGGTAAGTGCTAATAAAGCAGGGTAAGGGTGATAGAGAGTACAGAAAGGGTTTCAGGTTGTTTTTTACATAAAGCACTTATCAAAGGCCCCACCAAGGTGCCAGTTTAACAGAAACTTGAAGGAATGAGAAAGTGAGCCATGAGGACATTTGGGAGAACAGTGTTTTGTCAGTCCTAGTATCAACAGGAAGCAGATGGGCATTTGAAATAAGGTAGTTTGAGGGATTTCCAAAACCTTATTTCAGTGCAACTATGGATAAAGATGTGGGTACCACAGAACCACAAGGGTTAGTGGAGTAACCTGTAGCTTAGAGGTAGCTGAGCTCATCCTACCTATTGGCCTGAAGGGAGGAACAGTTACTGTGGCATCTGAGGAGAGGACAACACATACTTTGAGAGAGCTATGACCTCAAGGCTGGAGGGATTCAGCCAACTCAAGATGACCTTTCTGGGAACAATCCTGGGTAATAAATACCCTGGCTTCATTGAGCTCCCTCCTACTAGGGCTCCCTTATAACTATACCCAACCAGAAACTAGAGGATGTGGCACCTTTTGGTAGAGATCATAGGTGTCAGCCTCAGACCTGTTGGTAGTGGTCATAGGGGTCAGCCTGGGAAGGCACAGAGCAGGCTGGAGAAAAGTAGGGAATGGCTCAGGAGGCGTCAATAGAAACTGTCTAGCATAAGCATTCCAGGCTGAAAGACTAGCAGGCTCAAAGCTGAGCAGGAGCCTCCCAGGGAGGTTGGAGGAATATCAGAGAAGCCATGGAGCTCTGCAGCTCTGTCTTGTCTTTTGTCTGCAGATGGATGAGCTGCAAGGATCAGTAAAACAGCTGCAAACGTTTATGGACGAAAGTACCCAGTGCCTCCAGAAGGTGTCAGCACAGCTTGGTAAGTGTCTCCAGGGGACTGGAGCTTAGGTTCTTCTATATCTGATGGCCTTTGGGATGCAAACTGCCCTACAAAGCATGTGGTCCTGAGGTATGACCTATATCAGGGGATTTGTTTTTCTCCCCACAATAAATAATATGTTGATGGGAAATTTCTTTCTTTCTTTCTTTTTTTGGTTATACTGGGGATTTAACCAGGGTACTCTACCACTGAGCTACACCACCCTTTAAAATTTAGGTACTAGGGATTGAACCCAGGGTGCTTTACCACTGAGCCCTATCTTTAGCCCTTTTAATATATTATTTAGAGACAAGTTCTCTCTCAGTTGCTTAGGGACTTGCTAAATTGCTAAGGCTGGCTTTGAACTTGTAATCCCCCTGCCTTAGCCTCCCAAGCCTCTGGGATTACAGGTGTGAGCCACCACACTGAATTTTTATTTCTTCCTAGTTGTAGATGGACACAATACCTTTTATTTAGTTAGTTAGTTTTATGTGGTGCTGAGGATCAAACACAGTGCCATACACATGCTAAGCAAGTGCTCTCCCACTGAGCTCCAACCACAGACTCCCCAAGTCCTTTTTATTTTTGTTTCCAGACAGTGTCTTGCTAATTTCCTGAGGTTGGCCTTGAATTCTGCCTCAACCTCCTGAGTCACTTGGAATTATAGGCATGCACTACTGTGCCCAACTTTTTTTTTAAGTTGTAGGTAAACACAATACCTTTATTTTTTATTTTTATGTGGTGCTGAGGATCCAACCCAGTGCCTCACGCATGTCAAGCGAGCGCTCTATCACTCAGCCCCAGCCCCCAACTTTTTATTTTTTTAGTTGTAGATGGACACAATACTTTTATTTTATTTATTTATTGCTATGTGGTGCTGAGGATCAAACCCACTGGCTCACACATGCTAGGCAAGAGCTCTGCCACTGAGCTACAGCCACATCCTCTGGCTTTTTATGTTTGAGCCTCACTATGTTGAGGCTATCCTTGAACTTACAATCCTCCTCCTCAGCCTTTCATATTTCAACAGTAGTTGGGATTATAGGTGTGTGCCCCTGTGCCTGGTTGTTGATGGGAAATTTCTAGATGTAAATTCCACAGAAGAACAGTAGACTGAGAATTAAATCCCCATGAACTGCCTTGTCATTGTAATGTCATTCACTGTCTAACAGTGTTCACACTTTTTTTTGCTTGTTTGGTTTTTTGTTTGTTTGGGTTTTTTTTTTTTTTTGCAATACTGGGGATTAAACCCAGGGCCTCACGAGTACTAGGCCAGTATTCCACCACTGAACTACACCCTTAGTTCTTCAATAAACTTTATGTAAATTCAATTGAGATTTAGTTTTGTCTCATTTCCTCTGCAGAGAAGAGAAGCATGCAACAGTTAGATACTTCACCTGCTCGAAAACTGCTTAAACTTCACCTACAGAAACCATCTACCACACATTGCTCTGGATCTTGTCAGTGATCTTGCCCAGCTTTTTTGCCAGAAGACACTCAAAGGAGAGGATTGGGAAGAGTGCCCCAGCATGTGGCAGCTGCACAGCAGCCTGAGCTGTCCAGCTCTGTTGCTATGGAGGATAACTGGCTAGCTGACTGTAGAGAACTTTGACTTTTTTCTGAATGATAGAATTCATGCATCCAAAAGAAAATTAGAAACACATTTTTTTCCAGGAATATGCAAAATGTTTGAAACTTCCTTTTTGAAATGGCCTTCAAAACCAGTGGCCCATTCTTTTGAATATCCTTCATAGTATGAAGATTTCAGCTTTTGAAACCAAAGTCTTTTAGGACCAAGTTTAATGAAACATTTTAGGGACCAAGTTGGGTTCTGGTCATAAAGGGGTCAGGTTGGTTTTCAAGGTGTGGCTATGAAGGGGATTTTAGATAGAAGAGCATTGAGCATTGTTTCCATCATGGGGATGCATACATCACTTCACAAAATGTCCAATTTAAAGAAAATACTACTCATTTTTTATGTCTTGAGTGCACTTTAGTTTTTAACATTGAGTTGATATACTAAGCATTGAATTCATGGCAAGAGGAACTAAGTGCTACTTTTAATTTTTTTTTTTTTTTCTGTGCTGGGGATCAAACTCAGCATGCTAGGCAAGTGTGCTTTACCACCAAGCTACACCCCCTGTTTCCCAGTAGTTCTTTGTATTTATGAATAAACTATAAAATTATAAATAATTTAAAAATTTCCTATCTTTATATATGTTTTGAGTGTATTTTTAAAGTATTGTTTTTGTAGTGCTGAGCATTATGCCCACGGGCTTTGTGCATGCTAACAGTGTGCTCCACTATGGAGCTATGCCCCAGTCTCTAAAAATGATTAAAGGCAAAGAATGCTTAATAGAAAATAAGATTTTTAAAAAAATATATTTTAGTTACTGATGGACCTTTATTTTATTTATTTATATGCAGTGCTGAGAATTGAACCCAGTGCCTCAAACATGCTTGGTAAGTGCTCTACCACTGAGCCACAACCCCAGCCCAGAAAATAAGATTCTTTATCAAAGTGAAGTGAGCAGTAGTATGAAAATATGCCTCAGAACTTACTACCAATAAAATAGCTAATTTATTTTTAATTTTTTTTTTAAATTTTCATCACACTAATGGGACAAAACCTATACATTTAGACATTCAGTCAAAATATTAGATATTGAACACCCATTGGGGAGAGGTGATATCTCCTCACCTTGCCCTATGTTTGTTTCTTAAACACTTCTAGGCACTGGGGAGAGTACAAAGAACATAGGGAAATTCCTTCATGCGCATTGTACTGGAAACAAGGAACACAGAGTGGTGTTTTTTTGGTTTTTTGGGTGTGTGGGTGTGTGTGGTGCTGGGGATTGAACCCAGGGCCTTGTGCATACAAGGCAAGCACTCTACCAACCTATGTCCCCAGTCCAGGAACACAGAGAGATGATATAGCTACCTTGGAAAGGTTAAAGACATTAAACTGGGCAAGTATTCTAGGCAAAAGCAGCATTTTTTTCTTTTCTATGGTACTGAGAATTGAACCTAGTGCCTTGCGCATGCTACATAAACATTCTATCACCAAGTTAGATCCTTAGCCCTTTTAATTTTATTTTGAGACAGGGTCTCACTAAACTATGCAGGCTGGCCTCAGACTTGTGATCTGATCTTTCTGCCTCAATGTCTCAAGAAAGTAGGAGCCTCGGGATGGGATTGTGGCTCAGTGGTAGAGGGCTCGCCTAACAGGGGCGGGACCCGGGTTCAATCCTCAGCACCACATAAAAATAAATAAATAAAATAAAGAGATTGTGTTCAACTACAACTAAAAAAATAAAAATAAAAGCAAAATAATAATAATAATTAAAAAAAAAAAAAGTAGGAGCCTCCCAAGTTGCTGGAATTATAGGTGTGTACCACTGAGCCAGGCCAGAACTAATAATAGAAGCAAGCAAGGTGTGGATATGAAAGATCACTTAAGCTACTGAAGTAGTAGAGGTGAGAAATAACAGCTTGTGTTGGGTGTTGACAGTGAATGAGTGGGGCAGAACTGTCTGCAGCTTATGGTGTCTGGAACATGGCAGACATGGAGCCTTTGTGTTAAAACCCAACTCTGCCACTTCCTATCTTATTGGGAAAAAGCTATTTAACCTCTTACCTGTAAGGTCAGGAGAAGGACAGAATCTATATTATAGGGATACTGTAAGGATTAGATTAAGTAACAGATTTAGAACACTGGTTATCAGTTTGCTCCTGAGGATGAAGGCTTGAACAAGTGGGTAGAGCATGAGATGGAAAACCTAATAGTTCAATTTGGGATGCCAAATGGAGAATTCAACTAGTCTTGTCAGACATAAAGGGGGAAAACTGAGTAGAGATGTCTGGAATAGAGATAAAACTTGAGAGAGATGTCTAGTTATTGAAGATTTAAGAATGGATTAAGTTGTCCATAGTGGAACAAGAAGAGAAATTTCAACCTCAAGGAAAGCTAACTTCACAATGAAAAGAATGGTGCTGATTACCCACTCCTGCAGAAGCACAGTAGTGTAATGGCAAGAATGCAGAGCTTGAAGTGAATCCTCATCTCTTATCCTAAACGTCCTCACCTATAAAATGAGGATAGATCACTTCCAAAGGTAATCACACCTCCTCTAGTTTACTTGTTATATTGTGTATTTTTGTTATGAGTACTTGTTCAAACTGAAGGATTGGAAAGTGTGATTTTTATCTTCAACAGCTAAATAAAACACAGAAAAATAATACTTATTGAGCAGTAAGCATCATTTAGTCCTTATCATAAATTTATGAGGTGGTTTCTATTTTTTTTGTCATTATAAATGAACTTAGGCATGGTTTAATAATATAACCATAGACATATGGACAGTGGAGGGCGAAGTACAGCCAATTTGGCACTCAGTAAATGTTAATGAACAAACTTAAGTGTATAATAAAGAGTTGTGCTCAAAAATCAGTTTTCCCTTTATCCAAATTTGGTTCAGGAATTGTGCGTGATGAATAACAATATCACTGCCTCTGAAAGATTTGATTGTTTTTATTCCATTTGCTCTCATTTAGTTCAGAGAATAGTCTCTAGTCCCAGATACATAACATTAAAAGAAATAATAGATCAACGAATAAAACTCCTAAGGGAGAGGGATTATGTCCTGTGCATTTTAGTGTTATTTAAATTGTTGGGTTATTAAGTTTAATGTGTGCAGTGATTCTGGAAAACAAAAAATCCATCTCTCATGTTGCACTCAAAAAAACAAATAGTGTGACTGGTAGTTCTAGAGGGGATGTAAAAGAGGATTGGGAATTAGGAGCCACGAGTCTCGAATCCTAGTTTTGAAGATACTGTGTTCATTCACAAAAATTTACCAAGCCCCTTCCAGGTGCCACGCACTGTGCTGGGGGCCTTGTGACCTTGGGTACGGCCTCAAGCCTTCTTAAAAGAGGCACGCGTGGATCTTAGGGATTTCATAAGGATGTGACTCAGAGGAAGGGGAGGAGGTTGTGGAGACACAGCATTCCACACCCCTCCCTCTCCGCCCCTCAGATTTCTCGGAGGAGACTCCGCAGCAAGAAAAACTACACCCAATATGGCGCCGCCAGCCCCTCCCGCCTCAGTCGCCATCTCCTTGGTAGTTCCCGAGGCAGGCGAGCGTAGTGCGCCTGCGCAGCCCTGGCATCCTCAGTGCGCCTGCGCGCCCGCCGCGCTCCTCCTCCTCCCACCCCTCACCGCTGCCGCTGCTGCTTACTGCTGCACTGACCGCGGCGTCCGCGCCTCAGGTGAGTGAGCGCCTCAGCCCTACCCGCCCGCGGCGCGGCGTGCGGGGACGTCGCTCCTTCTCCCTGCCCTCGGCTCCGTGTTTTCGCAGTCGACAGGGCCCGGGGTCCGCAATGCCAGCCGACCAACTCCGGCCCCCTACTCTCCGCCCCTCCCCGGGTCAGCCCGCCCTCCCGCCGCGGCTCCCCGCGCCCTGCCCACGGGCGACGGCGTGTGAACGACTCGGGTCGAGCCTTCTTCCGACACCTACAGTCCCAGGGACCCCTGCAGGGCCACCCCATTTCATGCTCGCGTTCTGCAGGCGGCAGAGCTCGGCAGTCTCCCCGGACTGGGCATCCATCTGCTCTGGCCGCCCTAGAGCAGGGGGGCACGGAAGAGGGGCCTGGCTCGCCCTGCCCTGTGCTGCCCCGAAGCAGCAGGGGGTGGCCACTGCTGGGACCCCACGACCGCCCTGCTGGGAGAGGGCTCCTTAGCCGCACTTCACAGCCGAGGAAACTGAGGCACCGATTGGTGAAGTGCTGTGCCCAAGGTCACGGGGCTGACCAGTGGCAGGGATGGTTGTCGAACTCAGGTGCTTGGGCTCTTAAGGCCAGTGGAGATGGAATTTGATCTCAAACCTTTAAATATTTTTGAAAAAAACACTTGTCATGTGTTTAGCGGAGTTGCTCTTAAACGTCATAAAGTGGGCTGCAGGAAGAGTATCTTATTGTTGGAGTACAGTTAAGGTGTTACTGTAATAAAATGTGATATTAATAAGAGCTGACATTCATCCAGTACTTGCTGTGTGTCAGGGATCTTGCTAAGCATTTTATTAAGATCATCTCACTTAATACCTCAGCACTTCCTAATACAGTGCTTCCCCCTTCCTTTTCATGAAATCTCTCCTTCCCCACCCGCTGCATGGCTGGCCACATTGTCACAGGTAAACTAGGTTCCTCATGACTTGGGAGGTAGGAAAGCTCTCCTATGGTGGCTTAGTGGCAGAACAGGGTATTCCTTGCTTGCCTGCATCCAGATTTTTCCCTCAGCCTATCTCTTCTAGTGAGTATAATTAGCCTTCTTTTCCAGCTGCCAGGAAAGCAGGAATGGGCTAGCTGGGCTAGCTGGCCTTGGAGGTGACAGAGCAGATTTGGCGAGCGGTCACCTCACTCTGGGACTTCTGGTTCTGCTCCAACGTTGGGCTTTAACATTTCAGTATTTAAGATAATGTGAAGGGGAGAAAGATCACTGACAGTGGTGCCGCATCTAAGAAGCCCTTGATTTGAAGTCCCAAATGAACAGCTATAAAAATATGTGAATGTTTTGCCCCCAAAATAACTAGCTCAAACTGCCTTTTTCTCCCTTAGCAAATCCTCGTCCACATTTCAAAGACTACACTAAATCACTCCCTTCTTTGTGAAGCCTTACCTGCTTGATTTTCCCAATTAGAATTAAGCACACACAGTACGGTATATGCCAGGTCTTACCCTTAGGACTATTAGCTCCTTGAGGTCAGGAATTGTCTTTGCAACCCCAGATGCCTGGCTTATAGTGGACTAGTGGTAAAATCACTTCTTTTCATCACTCAAAGGGTGATGGTCTCTTGTTGCCCTTCTGTTCTTCATCTTGCCCTTCAGTTTCTCTTTGCTGTGTCTCCTGTTAGATTCAACTTCTCATCATCACTCACCTCTCAAAGGCCTCAGTCCACCCCGATGTTTCTGAAAATTTGCAAATAAGGGTCTTGTATCAAGAAGCCTGTTTATGCCCAATAGTTTGAGTTGGTATATGTTGCTTAAGCCTACAGAGCCATTTTTATTTATATGTTGCAGTAGGATGGTCTAAGGCTTACTGCCTTTTCAGTTTATTACTTACTTAGTATGTGTGATATACATTTGTCACATTCTTTTGCCTTATGTGACTGACTAACCCTGGTGATATCAGAATAAAAGCAGTTTTTTACTGTATATCAGTGCATGGTATGTGTAATAAATATTCAGAAGGACCCTTTGGGAGGCAGCAGATATATGTATAGGTTCTCTACTAAAATGAAGCTTAAAGATTTTTTTCCATATAATTTTCTGCAGATATACTGAGCTGTTTTTTGTTTGTTTGTTTTATTTTGTGGTTTTGGGGTTTGCCTCACGTGTGTTAGGCAAGCTATTCCCTGAGCCCTTCTTTAATTTTGAGACATGGTGCTGCTGGGATTACTGGTATGTGCTACCAGACCAGGCCTTAAGCTAATATTATGTATGGTGCTAGTTTCAGTTGAATAAAATATTTTTCCTATTGAAAGAGTTTACTAGCTAACTGGGAAACACTGCATCTAACTGTCTAACTGCATCTAACAAGTCACATCTAAAAATTGTCCTGTTAGTATTCTAAGCAAAGCATTATGAGAGAATAATAGATTAAGGTATTCCTACATGAGACATTTTATAAAGTCATATATTATTCAAACTGAAAATAAGTATTGAGTCCAACCCTGACACTTTCATAGACATCATCCTGAGAACTGAATTTATCCAATGCTATAGAACTGGGACTACAGCTTAAAATTCCATAATTTTTATTTATTAAAAATTTACCAATGTAGTTCAGTAATAGTGCGCTTGACTAACATGCATGAGGCCCTGGATTTGATCCTAAGCACCACAAACAAACAAAAAAAGATTTACCAGCATTTCTTATCTTGGGGAATTCATTAACCAGCAGGTCTATTAAAATTCCATTTATGTGTCAGGCATGGTGGCACATATCTGTAATACCAACTACTCAGCTGAGACAGGAGGATTTTAAGTTCAAGGCCCACCTGAACAACTAAGCAAGACCCTTCTCAAAATAAAATTTTGAGTGGTGGGGCTATAGCTCAGTGATAGAGCACTTGCCTCGCACGAACAAGGTCCTATATTGAATCCTGAGTATCACACACATCAAAAAAAGAATTCATTTTGTCTTCAGTTCAGAGGTAGGGAAAGAGATACAAAGATACGGTTCATGTCTTCAAGGAGCTTATGGTCTGTTGGAGAAGAGTAAAGAACTGTTCTCTGACATCAAAGATATAAAGCTAATTGTTAAATTGTATGGTGAGGCACTATGTGTGTCATGATAGTTTAGGGAAGGGGCCAAGAAGGATTAGTGTGAGCTGTGATAGTGACCATTTTGGAAAAGAACCAAGACTTTCTGGGCTTGATAGATTGATAGGTCCAGATTCAGTCAAAAAGAGGAGGAAAGCATTTGGAATCAGGAGTGATAAACAGACAAGATAGCAATGCCTGCCATATGTAGGACAGTTCAAAAAAATTGGCATAACTGTATTAGAGCAGTGTCAGTGTGCATCAGAAATCTGGACAACTCCTCCCCCAGAGTTTCTGATTCAACAGCTCTGGAGTGGGACCTGAGAATGTGCAGTTCACACAGGTTCCCAGATGATGCTAATGATCCAAGGACCAAACTTCGAGAACTACTGGATTAGAAGGTTGAAAAACTATAGTCAGAAACTGTCAAAGAACTTGTTTCAAAAGTGTGTGTGTGTGTGTGTTATACTAACATGGGAGCATTCTGAAAAGATACATAAGATAGTAGTCAGTTCTGGAAACAGAATTTAGGAAATTGGGAAATTCAGTTTTTACCTTATACCTTTCTGTGTTATTTTTGCATTGTGTGCACATATTGCACTTGTGTTTTAAAAAGGAAAGAAAAATAAGAGTCCATTTTGAGGATACATACTAAAATATTTATGGATTATAAAAAGAGCTTGCTAAAGTAATCTAGTCATACAACAAGCATTTTTAGAGTGCTATATGCCAGATGCTGCTAGCTTCTGGAAATACAAAGCCTTTGCTAAAGCTTGCAGTCTGGTGATTAAGATCACAGATTGCAACTTTAGTCGAGCTTCCTAAGAGCAAGGACCAGTGTCTAGCTCTCTGATAATGGACATTTGGCCGATAATAGGCACTTGGTAAGGTAAGTGATGAATGAATGAGCAAATCCAGACAA